CATTCAGGGTGATTAAAACACCACTCTAAGGGGCGGTCACCGACTGTAATGCTAAGAACATGTCCTTGCTTTATGGTGTATCATTAATGTCACAACTTCTTTAAAGAAGATTTAACATTAGAAAATAGGAGTGAAGAAATTACAAGCTGGAAAATATTCCTTGGCATTGGGTTAAAGCACTGTATAATTTTCAATTAATTAAGGTTTTGGTTGAGATAAAAAAAGTCAGCGTCACAAGCGGGATTCGAACCCACGACCTTCGGCTAAATACGCTGCTGCTCTACCACTTGAGCTATCGTGACTTCGATCCACTCGGACACTAACTTCCCATCTCAACCCCACCTTTTGAATATTCCCTCCTTAACTTGTGACGGTGACTTTTTTAACTCAACCAAAACCTTAATTAATTGAAAAGAATTTATTTGGTCCAGCGAGCCAGGAAATCTAATAAAACACTGTATAATATTCAAATGAGTTAATTTTACGATTTTATAGGTAATTTATAGTTAATAATTTATCTTTCCATATGAAAAGATTTGATCCTGATTTGTTCTAACAATTCATTCGTTAGTCGTTTTATTTGTTAGATTTGGATTATTATTTATTTTAGATATAAAACACTGTATAATATTCAAATGAGTTAATTTTACGATTTTATAGGTAATTTATAGTTAATAATTAATCTTTCCATACGAAAAGATTTGATCCTGATTTGTTCTAACAATTCATTCGTTAGTCGTTTTATTTGTTAGATTTGGATTATTATTTATTTTAGATATATTAGATATGGATAGATAGATTTATTATTTCCTGCTGAAATCCTATGAGGTCATTGGCCTAATTTAAGGGGCAAAATAAAAATTTGTCAATGATCTCATAGGATTTCAACATAAAATAATAAATTGGATTCTAACTTCAAATATTACAGATTTCCGAACCTCAACCGTCAAAACTTTACGACCTACGGTAACTTATATGTAAACAGTTACACAGCGGTCTGTATTATTGTTCAAGAAAACGAAAGCTTTTTCTGAGGAACAAATACAGGAAATACTTGACTTGAGAGCCCAAAGAGTCAGTAAATTACTTGGAGGTCAAGATGAATAAAAGACTTCAAATTTAGTCAAAGCATCGAGGCACAGAATAAAAATCTTCAAAAACAAACCCTTGACTTACAACGTACGTAATATATTATTTGTCCTTAACCAAGCCTGGCTCTAAGGTAGGCAGTATGATCGCCAGCGTCATTCTGGTAGGTGCCAAGTCGCTAACAACACAGAGAACTCAACCTCGAGACTGTTTGTTGAGAGCTGTCAGAAAATTCATTTCAGCCTATGTTCAGGCAATTTGCAGTTGCCTAGTCTATAAGTCTCCTATTCCTTCCAGTATTCTGCCAATCGTGGGCTAAAGTGAAAAAGGCGTACGGATCTACTAGAACCGGGGACAACACAGTTGTTAATCCTGTACAGGTAGTACTCTCCCTGAAGTCATGTGCACTGTTAATTCAATACGTACTTCATTCGGATATACAGGAGCCTAATTTTGTACACCAAATGGACCCACCGTAACCATCTTTCAACTAGCTATAGAAAAATGACCACAATAAATAATAAACATCTCAAAGATGCAACAATAATTCGTTCAGACAGTTAGGCAGCTCTAAAGGCTCTCCAAGCCTCAAAACTTGTCTGAAACTGCCTAAAAGTGGGTACCCGGGCATATGGGAATTCAAGCAATAAGGACAAATAAACTTGCTAAAAAAAGGTTCCTCGCAGCAACTCATACGCCCAAATCCATTTACTGGCATAAACTATAGCCAAATGAAAAAAAAGCACTGTATATTTGGAAATGCTCCTTAAAAAAATTGGACAATGGACAGATCACCAATGTCGATTATGACTCGAAGGGACCATAAACATATCCTGTAAAACTGCCCCTCATTAGCTTGGAAAAGGCTATAGCCTGGGAAAGCCGTTCTGGAGCCATACATACCTTGTAACCTACCCCCTTAAGAAGAATTTTCGATGTATAGCTTGAAACTTTGAAAATAAAATCATTTAGAATGGGATAATAAATGTCGTTATTTCTGCAACTAGATACTGCATTTTTGCGTTATTGCACATTTTTGTTATCGCCTTCTTTACCCACCATCTTTCGGATTCAATATCTAAGAAGAATATTATCAATTTTTATGCACTTTATTGATTCACTAATTATGGACGATTTCTTAATTGTTAAAGAACATCTTAATTGACAAAGGGCAGAATTTTATGAGAAAAAATTAAAATAAAAATGGTTCAATTTTATGAAAGCTTTGAAATTTTTGATAAACATATAGTTTGAACTTTTGAAAAGATTTTTGTATACGTTTTAAGCTTTAAACTGCACTCAAATTGGACTCCTATCTGTACAAGGTTCGCATCTTCGCACCCTTCCTAAAAAGGACAAATTAAGCTCTCTTTGAAGTTCTAGCTAATTTCCAACTTTTTTCTCCAGTTGGGAGCAAATCCACAATAAATCCTAGTGTGCTGGGTAGATGGTAAAAACTGTATTACCATTAAATATATCTCGCCTGGTTAAATAAATTATAAAGCTTGCACGGAGTTAAACCTTTTTTTTTATATATATAGTTTTGTTTAAATTTCTCAATTTGCTACGAAAAGTTTAAATTGTTAGTTTTCAGAGGCTGTCGCGATGGATAACGCGCAGACCGAACCACTCAGATTGTCAAAAACGTCTTTCTTAAACGTTCAACAAGTAAACGATCGTAAATTACCACACCATTGATGGATTTACAGATGTTTGTTTCCTAACGGATTATGTCTTATCAATTGTGAAACAATAAATCGTTGCTGCTTTATCATTACTTTGAATTCCAGTCCGACTAAGAAGAAATTCAACTAAAATACTTCTTATGTGCTGGAAAGCAATACAATAATATTTATTACAGTAATATATTGCAGTATGATTGATAATACTGTTAAGAAGGTATTAATAGTTCATGGTAAGACGTTTAAGTGTAATTTATTACATATCTTCAGCAAAATGCCGGCGTATGAACAACGGACGGTCAATTGAAATTTACTTCTCTGCTCCGCCTAGCCTCGCTTATGTCAGCCTTTTTTCCAATTCTACTTTAAAGTTTTTCTGTTTTTTCGTTCTGTCGTTTCTGATTTTTCCGTCTTCTGTCATATAGACTAAAGAGGCGAATCTTTAATTATTTAGCATTTCAACCGTAAAACTCGGCCCAAAGCAATATAATTGACAATACTGTTAAGAAGATATTAATAGTCCTTGGTAAGACGTGTAAGTTTAATTTATTATCTTCAGCAAAATGACGGCGTACGAACAACGGACGGTCAATTGAAATTTACTTCTCTGGTCCGCCTAGCCTCACTTATGTCAGCCTTTTTGCCAATTCTACTTTAATGTTTTTCTGTTTTTTCGTTCTGTCGTTTCTGATCATTTTGAACTTCCTAACACACTGGTTTTGGCCCGTCAGACACGTTTCTGCTTTTTTCTTCTGTCATATGGACCAAAGAGGCGAATCTTTAATTATTTAGCATTTCAACCGTAAAACTCAGCTTTTCGATTGAGTCAGAGTAAAATCGCTCCCCATCCTTAGAGTCTAGCAGACACGGTCCTTTTAGCCTCCCTGTGACTCATCGTAATTCCTCCCCTAGGACCAGGACACGCGGCTTTTCCCTCCAGCGGTGTAAACAAACCCCGTGTGTTTGTATGTCACAAACATATTGCCCTTTCAAAGGTTGTCGAAAATCGATCCGCCCCTCGGCAAGTATGCGAGTGAAAGCCTTTCTTCTCCATTGAACACAAATAAATAGGAAAAGCCCAACAAAAACACCGTCTCGGCACGTGCTTCCGTCTCGATTGTGAAGCACTTTCGAGGGGGAGGTCCAAACGTCCAAAGACCACTTCTCATGTCTGATATGAATTATTGACACTCAGTTTGTCATATTTACTGTTTTTTATTTAATAAAATAAAATCACTGTTCTAACACTTGGTTCAATACTTTTTTTAGTACTTATTTATATTTTTTTGATAAATAACAACTTCAGTGTTCATCTTGAGGTTTATATATTAAGAACTTTTTATTATACCGTACAAATTATAGAGAATTAGCAACAAGCAATGATTTTTATCCGCATCATCTTGGCCTATTACACTTTTATTAATATTGATCAATCTCCGGCCTGCAAATTCGTCCTCTGTTGAGATATTTTTCTCTGAGTTTTGGTTAGGGAGATTTCATGAGCCATTAATCATGAAAGGGCCAGGACCATTTATCAAAGCGTTCTTCAGTTCGCAAGTAGGAATTTCTCTCCATAAATCCAAAAATACCGTCTGACATTTTTTGTACACATTAGTGGAAGACAATTCCCTTAAAATAATCGCAAATGTGATTTATTTTATACTTTTCCCATATTGCTATCTGTTCATTACTTCATGTAAGACTGGTGCTAAAGTTATAATTTTGTTCATTTCAAGTTTACTAGTCTTTTAAATCTGTATGCACGTATGTCTTATTTATTTTATTACCTTAAGTTTTATGTGGCCATAGTATATCTATCATCGAGGCAATAACAGGGTAGGGTATTTGCTTGCCCATCTCTCATTATTATTAACAACACATTATATTTAGTGGTCTGATTGACCAAATTGCTTCTTTCAATTAATTAATCTTTTTATGTAAGAGCTTGGTTGAGATGAAAAAGTTGGTGTCATGAGTGGGATTCGAACCCACGTCCTTCGGATGCTAATATAATTATAACAGACATTTCATAACCCAATAGTCTCAATTATAATTATATGAGATGGGTTGATTTCAACTGTTTTTGTTTTGTTGATAGATAAATTTTGTTTAAAATTACTCTAAAACAAAGATCCTCCATGAGTACCCTCATAGTAGGCTGTTAGGGAAAAATATAATAATATATTACCGTATGTTTTCTTTCTCAAAAGCAACAAAACATTTTCTCAGGCATTCTGAAGGAAGTGCAGAATGAATTTAACATTGGCGATTCCTATGGAGGCCTCCTGCAGACGGTTTTTGTCATCAGTTATATGATCTTCGCCCCACTTTTTGGCTACCTCGGTGACCGGTACAGCCGTCGGTGGCTTATGGCCTTTGGCGTGGCTCTATGGACTCTGATGACTTTAATTGGCTCATTCATGCAGGTAAATGTTTAATTGTCTTCATTATTTGAAGTTAGTCATTCTCTTTGTTTCTTTCTTACAAATTAATCAATCACTCATTCTTCCTTTTCTCTCCTCCCTTGATCAATCATTTTCTCCTCTCTTCTCCCTCAATCTCTCACTTTTCCTCTATCTCAATCAAACCTTACTTGATTTTTGTGAAATATTATTTATCATATACATAGACAATCAAGTTACAGGTCATCGCCTCACAACCTCAATATTAAATAAATTTTGTATGAAATTTGTCTGATCTAATTGTGGTTTTCTAGGATTATCGTTTGTTTTTGCTCTTCCGAGCATTGGTTGGCATCGGTGAGGCAAGTTATTCAACAATATCACCTACCATAATCAGCGACCTCTTCCTTTCCGATCTTCGCTCCAAGATGTTAGCCATCTTTTATTTTGCCATACCGGTCGGAAGGTAAACAACAGACAAAACAATATTGTATAATAGATATTTCTAATAATCTGATTTCAGTGGTCTTGGCTACATAACTGGAGCAAGCGGCTATTCACTCTTCGGGAACTGGCGGTTCGGTCTGAGGTTCACCCCCTGCCTCGGATTGATAGCAGTCTTGCTCATCATATTTGTAATGTCAGACCCTCCAAGAGGGGAAATAGAAGGGCGTGGGTCTCTCCAAGCAGGAAATTATTATAAAGATGTAAAATCTCTATTAAAAAAGTAAGTAAACTGGTGAAACTTTTAGTAGTTAATAATGATAATATAACTAAACAATTAGAAATTTCTTTCATTCTCATTTCACTATTTTTGGCTGCTGTATGTCTTTGTTAAAAAAAATAACCAAAAGTTCTTAAAGAACAATTCTTAATGTTACTTTTGCAATTTTTTATGATAAAATCAATCATTATTTTACAATTATTTTGGTAAATATTGATTTTTTCTTGCAGTAAGAGCTTTATGCTCTCAACCCTTGGTTTTACCTGTGTAGCCTTTGTAACAGGAGCTTTGGCTTGGTGGGCTCCCAAATTTATCGCCCTCGGCCAAAAAATTATCTCAAGATCGCAAGTCGATAATACCACTGAGTAAGTAAAGTTTCTAATTCAGCGCATTTGCTTTCTGATCACTGTCTTACGTCTCATTTTTGTCAGAGTCTCACTGATTTTTGGTGCAATATCCATGCTTGCGGGCATTGTTGGTGTACCTTTGGGCTCAATGCTAGCGACGCGGATGCGAAACAGGTACCCTTCGGCGGACCCCCTCATCTGCTCGTTCGGGCTTTTTATAAGTGCGCCGTTCATTTTTGCAGCCCTAGTCCTCGCCAATAGCAACACCACTGTCGTCTATTTCCTTGTATTTTTAGGTTCTGTCTCACTGAACCTTAACTGGGCCATTGTTGCAGATATACTGTTGGTAAGGAAACTGCTTTATTTTTTGTATCAAGCTTTTTTATATGTTATTTATTTATGAATTATAAAAATACAATCTCAGCACAGAGAAATCCAGCATAAAAAGAAAAGTTATATAAAATTTTGCACCTTATCTAATGTGTCTATATTCAAAATTTTAATGTTTCTTCAAACAACCAATGATAACGATTGCCTTTATTTACGCCGTTCTAATAATTTGTTGAAATTACATTACTAAGACTATCTTGCAATAATAAATGATAGATTTTATTTACACTAGATAAACACTAATCCTTGTCAAGCACTAAATTCATCAGTATATCCTGATGTTAATCAAAAGTGTTAATTTTTGAAAAATGTTTAATTTAAGTGCGTATTAAGCTAATATAGTTACGTTCCATGCATAAGGTCTAGTTAAATGAACCAATGTATTGTCTGTAATTGTAGCCAATGTACATTCGACTTTCCTCGAACTTGTCTTGCTAGAATGGATTTTTTTTTTTTTTTTTTCTTAAAGTCTGTGTGGTTGTGTTATGTTTGTGGCATAGCTAGCTGTTAGCTGGCAGGGTATCATACTGAAGAAATTGTATGGGAAATTACATTTCTCCTATTTCTAGAGTATCTACAATTTTTGGACTGACAGCAATGATTGCCGGAGCTGTGGGTGTGCCTCTTGGAACTATTTTAGCTAACAAGGGAAGGAAGTACATTGGTGTAAAAGCTGATGCATTGGTTTGTTCAGTTTCGCTCGTTCTGAGTCTTTCATTTTTAATTCCTTCCATTATAATCACTCCCGATGATTTACAATGCTACATTTTAATTTTTCTGGCACAAGTCTTTATAAATTTTAACTGGGCCATAGTGGCTGATATAACATTGGTAAGTGTTAAAATATTTTCAATGAAAAAGAAAAAATCAAATTTTTTCTGGACAAACAAACATCTATATTTGTTGAAAGAAATAATATTTGTCTTATACATTTGTAAATGATTTCCAGTATGTTGTACTCCCTACAAGACGATCATCTGCAGAAGCTTTCCAAATACTTATATCTCATGCCCTCGGTGATGCAGGAAGCCCGTATTTAGTTGGGGTCGTAAGTATTCGTCTATCGATAAATTTTTGAACAAACAAATAATAACATTCTACCACAGATTTCAGATGCTCTGAAGCAGACGACAGAGACTGAAAATATGGTCCAGGCTGAAGACAACAAGACTGAAGTCGATTTCCGGACTTTGCAATACGCACTGTTCACGACATGTTTCATAGAAATTATTGGGGCGATATGTTTCCTCATCACATCCTTTTACATTATCGAAGATAAAGAGATGGCGATAATTGAAAGCGAAGGTAGTGGTATTATTAAAAAATCTTATGATCATCACCATACTTACAGGCAGTCACAAATAGTACATTTTATATTTATATTGTAAGATAAATAACAATTGGATGGAGGGTGGTTTACATCCTTCATTATTCAATATACGCACATACTATAGGCATCGTTGGCCGCAATGGTCACGGTAAGGTAAAGGTCTTGGATTCCAATGCAAGGCCGCTGGTTTTGAACCTGACATGCTTTTTTACAAAAACACCAGCATCCTGAGGGTTCATATAACCTCATAGTTAAAATACCTTTGTTTAAAATCACCTTTCATTAAACCTCGTAATTACCTTGTGACTACAACTTTATTTCTAGTTACTTAAATTAATAAATGTGTAAACAAACCCATACAACAAACACTACTTCCATTCAATTACAATACACAAATTCCATTCAACCAAAATTTTGTTTTGTTGTTGACGATTATTTGTCACAAAATTCTAACTCCATTAATTTAATCTCTCTTTGTACAGCATTAGAGAAAGGTGATCAGCCCACCAATCACATGTACGCAGACGATCCCCGGCTCAATGGAAGTGAGGCCAACTTGACCATCCCTTCTTAACAGGCCTTTATGTCAGTTTCGTCAAACTGATTCATTACAATGAGTTTGAGTGGCAAACTTTTAAAATGAACAAAAATCATTTAAAGAACAACAGAAACTGACTGAGGACCTTTTATACCATGCTTTAACCAAATTGTCAAATGTGTGCATACTTCCCTGTTTGTAATGAACTTATTTATATTTGCCAGCCTTTTATTGGAATGGAGGGCATTAACCCAAATGTTAATTTAGAACAATTTTCATAACAAATGTATAGTTATAATTATTTAAAGACATTTAGGTTATAGCTGAAAGACTGTGTTACTTTTATTTTGTCTTTTTATTTAATTATTTTTATTTTTGTGATTAAATTTCAAAAATTATGTCAGTACACAGTATTGCAGTTACGTAAAAGTAACAAAATAAAAATGTTTTAACTTGAACAATAATATGAATTGTCGTTTGCTTTAAAAAAGTATATAAAAATTTATGTGTCTTGTCTCCACATTTTAAACTGTTCACAATGAGATTGGAACACTAAAATAATCAAAACTGCCATATCATGTTTTTTTTTTCTTTTTTTTTTTTATAAAGACTGTCTCTTATATAAAATATAATACAAAACTATTGTAATTTAAAATTGTATATTGCTTGTCTAGCTGATTGTATATATGTGTAATAGTGTTATTTGTAAAAACACAATATTTAATTATGGAAATGTTTGGTTTAATCTATATCCCATCCTAAATTCCATTTAGAATTTATGTGTCACCAACTGAAATCTCACATTGCTAGCACAAATTCTCCATCAGACTTACCACAAGTGTTGTAATAGTGTGGTATGCTGGATGTTGGTCTGCGAGAAGGTGGCATTATGTTGAACTGGCCTTGGGTACTGGCGCAAAGTATGTAGCTAATGTATCCCAAGTGTGAAGTGTACTTCACAAAGTCACTAGGAGAGGTATAATTATCCCCCCATTTCCAGTCACCAGTAGGTGTTATTTCAAGTTGGATAAGTTAACCACATAAAATATCTAGCTAAGATATCACAAGTGTAAAGTTGTTAACAACATCACCACAGAATGTATCACAAGTTGGATAAGTTTACCCTTAGCTAACATATCTCAAGTGTGAATGTAAATATATCTTAAGGATTTATCACAAGCGTAACAAGTAAGCTACAGTCACCAGTGGATGTATTAGAAGTGTGATAAATTTACCTCAGAAAGTATCTAGCCAATGTACTACAAGTGTGATAAGTTTATCCCACAAAGTATTTAGCAAATGTATCAAAGTGAAGTTTGCCTCACAAAGCCAGTAAAGGATGTATTACAAGAGAAGTAAGTCTTTTCATCTTAGAAAGTTTCTTGGCCGATCACAATTTCAATAAGACACACAATCACCATCAGATGTAGAAACCATTTTAAATTGCTAAATATGAAATCTATTTTTTTTTTTTTTTCATTTCAATTGTGTTTTTTTATGTCAACCAATTTGTTTAATTAAGTGTTGTAAAGAAATTTAGCAGCATGCTGCAAGTATTAGTCAAGTAATGCATAACAACGAATGGTTTATTAAAAATAGTGGATCAATAATTATCATGTAAATTAGCTAAATCTTAAAAAGAACAATTAGGTTAATAGATTTTTTTAAATTATAAACAATTTTAAGTTGTACAATGTACTGGCAACACTATCAGTTCAAATTTACTTCAAAATTAAGCAAAATAGTCTATATTACTGATTAATTGTGCTGCATTGATGTTTCAGTGGACCACAGAGATCGTGCAAAAGCTTTAAAGTTGTTAAAGACATAAGCAAGATGTGAATAATGAAGCCCAATATTGTTTTCCATAGCTGCATTATGGATTTATAAACCAGCAAAGCCATTTTATAGATTTAAATAACAATTAATTGAATATACAAACGGACAGGGAGTTTTTATGTTTGTAAATAAATTGAATGTTTATCAAGTCTATTTTATTAATATTTCATTTAATTTGAAGATATATTTAAGATAATTATTTATTAATTCACTTAATTTCAACACACCCCTGATGTGAAATTATTTATTATAGTAAATAATCTATTTTTCACATGTTCCATTTACACTTGTATTGTATTGTAGTATTACAAGTCCTATGTATATTGCAGTTTTACTGTGCTTTGTTATATTGAGCAAAATATTTATTATATATTGGATATTTTCACATCCTTTCTAGTTCTAGATTTTGTGTGCTGTTATGATTTTTATTCATATTTCACACATCATATGGTGACTAGATCACCACATTTATTATGATTGTTCAATAAAAAAGAGAGGAAGTTTTATTATTTTGGTTATAAATTATTACAGCGGATGCATTTTATGACTATCTGCAATAATGGTGAGTTTTTATCAAAAGCTGTACGTAAACTAAAATAGGGAATACAAATTTACTGTTAACACTTTACCAACTTGACCAAAATTGGTCATAATCATAACTTTTTTAAAATTATTAATATACATAAATATCCATATTTATTAGGTAAACTTGTTATTTTACTAAATTTATTATTTATTTCGAATCAAAAAAGTCTTGTTTTGAAGATGGTCTCTTTCAAGATGCAAGAATGTGTCTGTTATGCCAACTTTTTTTTTTATTATATCTTTTTTTTCAATCTCTTACTCTTCATCTTTTTTTATTATCAAACTAGTCGATTGTTACAAGTTTAATTGTATAATACTTTAATGTTTTTAAGCCATCTGTAAGTGGCTTGTCATCGGTGTCGAGCAAAGGATCGAGTAAAAATGGGAGATCAACAAATAGTGCCAGGCATAGGTAACAAAATTTAATAATCAATTACAAAACTAAATTTAAATTTGTAATAAAAACTTCAGGAAGACAAATTCAAGCACTGCTTCAAGAGGTCGTCATGGTGGAGGCGATAACAGTGCAGGGATGTGGAGATTCTATACCGACGACTCCCCAGGAATCAAAGTGTAATTGTTGTCATATTCATTTTTTCTTAGTGGTAGTTTAAATAATTTTTTGTTTTGTTTTTCTTTTGCAGCGGTCCTGTACCAGTATTAGTAATGTCGCTTCTTTTTATAGCATCCGTTTTTATGCTCCATATCTGGGGGAAATATACTAGACCTTCGTAATGTAGTTGGGTTTTAAACTTTTATAAATTTTTATATCAGAGTTAATAAAATTGAATTTATTTCATTGTATTGGCTGCTTTATATGAAGTCCTATACTAGGGATTAATTTAAATTAAACTTTCTATCAGTGAGCATACTACAGTGTTGTTAGCCCATTCAGCTCCCAACATCTAGCATAACAACATTTAACAATTATAACATATAACAATTATCTGCAAAAGATCACTCAATCTTACATTTGGAGTACCACCCTATATTTCAAAGAGATAAGTAACTTAAGGTATGCCTATTCGCTCCCTATATGGATCCAATGCATGACACTTCCATTATTTGGTGCACATGAATCTGGAGATAAGACAAAACTAGATAAATCAAATTTTGACCAAATGAAGTCACTACAAAAATGATTAAGTTGAAAAGGAAACCATTTCCTTTTAATGAAGGAATTTAGAGCTTGAAAAGTTACATCAACATTTTGGACATTTTACTTGCATGCGTGGTGGTATAATAACTGGCAAGTGCAATGCATAATGAGATAATAAATATACTTAAATAAATTAAAACAACCTATTTATTACGACAACTACGATACATTGACTTTAATGAAATGTGAGCACAACAAAAAATTAAAAGGTACTACAAAAATTGAATTTTAACCAAAGGTCTAAATTTTAAAATCACAATCCTGGAAAGTTGTGTTTTTTGCTTATCCAGTTTTGCCTCAAGGGTGCAGAAACATCTACGATGATTCGGCCTAAAATTAGGCACAGATAAGTATATACTTAACTGCCACCCTTTATATATAAAACAGTTCCTTGACTGAGTGAGACAACGCACAGATCAAACCCCTGGATCTAAAGGGTTGAAATTTCGACTATGCATTCCTATAATGACATGAATAGCAGCTAAGGAAGGATTTTTTGAAATTACATCCCTAAGGGACTAATTTGGACATTTTTTTACCATGTATAGACTGAAGTGAACTGAAGAAGAGAGGAATTTTAGAAACGAGACATTATATTAGAAAGTCGTACTAGCACCTGCATTGCACTAGAAACGTACATTAAAACAGAGTCCTGCATGGACAAAGTCGTGGGTAAAAGCTAGTATGGCATATTCTGAGCCAACTTTGCTCAAAAATTTAAAATAGGCAAATTGAATGTATTAAAAACTAAAAATAATTTAAATATAAACTTGATATGATTATAAAATGGGCAAATACTAAACAATATAACTTGACTTGTCATAACTAATTTATTTTATATTGATTACATGATTAAATCATTCAAATGCACTATTCTTAGTGCTAGTTTTTCTTTATTTCAAATGTTATTTTTAATTAAAAATTGTAATTAAGTAGATTATTTTTATTTGTGCAAATCCAAAGTGCATATGAAGGTTTCTTTAATTTGTGCTTTTATGGTTTTGAGCTTGATAGATTTAGTTAAAATTGTGGCCTTATTGAAGGTCAAAATGAAAACTAAAATGGTCAATGTAATCAGAACAGTTTGGATGGCTCTGTATCATCACAAAGGAATCAATGTGCCCTAAATAGCCTGGTTCAGTATGCCATTATTTTAAGGTAAAGAATATCTTTTGTAATCATCAAGATACGGCAACGAGTACAGGTCTGGTGGCCAAATTTGGCATAAATTGTCATTTAGACCGAGCAAAATTCAGGTTTTTTTATGAGTCTTGGTTTCACCACAGCCAGTTGGCTGACATTCTGGAGAAAAACTGTAGAATGTTTATCCTATAGTTTTTAATATATAATTAATTAAGCAGTGTTAGATGATGTTATTACACTAAGACAAGCCCAGTTGATACTCAATTACACACCAGAAAAAAATAAAAACACTATAGTCCAAATTGCACCTTGAATAATATATTAGCTGAATAGTCTAAGCTTAAAGATTTTACAAAATCTTACAGTGAGTCACAAACTGTAAGACGTCTAATTAATTACCTATTAATTAGAGTGTTATTGCAAATGTTTATAAGCCAGTGGAATTGTTCATCATATTGTCAACAAAATAATGTCAATATGTATTTTTGTACCACAACATAGACAGCATATTTACTAAACCTGACTGCATTTTTTTTATTGTTGGTACTAAATTTTGCAAAGTTTATCAATACATTCTCAGTGTAAGTCATGAGCCAAAGACAAGACAAATTGGTTCTTAATTACATATTAAAAAAATAAAAACATCCAAATTTTACCTTGCTTAATTTTTTTTCTCAATTGCACAAGCTTAAAGCTGGAGCTTAATCAGATGTAGTGGCGCATGAATATTCTTCTTCAATTCCTATCAATTATTCTTCCACTTACGTCATCTTACACATTTAATAAATTTTTGTTTAATATCTGAATGCATGTCATTGTCTAACTCAATGGTTCCCACACTTTTTGTTTCCAGCGCCCTTAATTTATCGGAATATTTCTGTGGCACCCCAAATCTTGATCTATCCCAGTGAGAACTTCATGATAATACTAGTAATTCATTTCCAATTCAGAAAACTATTAATTTATCTAAAACATTTATTTTGTCTGTGATTTTATTTAATAAATAATCAAAACTACTGACTTTTTTTTGGCACTTTCGACACGACACGCAAGAATGGCACAATTACACAGAAGACAAACACTTTGAGCCCTGAAGATGATCTCAATAAAGATCAAAACGGCACGATAAAGAAAATGTTTTTCTGAAACCTACATCACACCAGACCACATCTCACAATTTCTAAATAAATTAAAAAAAAACTACTGACTTTCTTGTGAAATTAAAAACTTACCTTTTGAAAAGCGATTGCGCACTTAATAGCCAAAATATAAAAGTGAATACTTTTTGTGGCCAATAATATAAAATAAACAATTGCAGCTGCCTCATTAACATCCACATTGAGATTGGATGGCCACCAGGGTCTTAGTTTTTAGAGTTTATAAAGGGGGATTTAGTTTTTTTTTTTTTTGTAAATATAAAAAGAATATTTTTTATAGAAAATTTTTGTGGCGCTCTTGCAGCACAGCCACAGTGCACAGTTTGGGAATCTCTGGTCTATTTCCAAAAATTCACCAAAATAAATAATTTTTGTTTATCATGTGGACAATTTCCAATTTTGTCCAAAATTTTGGAGAGGATTATGAATAGTCAAATTTTATCCTACATCGGAAAAAAAGAGTGCTGAACCCCCAATTCGGTTTTCATTCAGGGCATGACTGTTCTACAGCTCTACTATTATCTAATTAGAGCGATATTGCATCCCTTTTAGCCTGCATAATTTTGTTTATCATGTTGCCAACAAAGTAATGTCAGTAAGGTGACATCAAGGTATTTTCTATCACTGGTTGGATACAACCTATGTACGGATGTATATGAATATTATCAGTACAGTTCCTTTTCTTCCATTTGGAGAAAGCATATAACATGATGTCAATGACACAAAGACAAGGCCTGTTAATTATTATATGTCAGAAAAGAACAAAAACACCATCATACAAAGTTTACCAATCCATTCTCAGATCAATTCCTTTTCCGCTAAAAGGGTTAAGATTTAATGAGTTTATTTTAATTAAAATAATGGAAACTGGTTGAATAAATATTGTCAAAAAATTAAAAAATGGGTCAATTAAAACAAAATCATTTTGTTTTAATTTTATTTACAACAGTACACTTAAATTGCAACAACAGATTACTAGCATTTTTTTAAAACTGGCTTTTATGTTTTTTAAACTTCATTGGGGGTCTTCCATGTCCTGCCAGGATCTTTTGTAAGTGTGAAATCCTTACTGAATGAAGAGTAGGTATGGGTAACTTCTTTTGGAGTACCAGCGTCGGGGAATAGCTCCCATTTGTTAATGACAAAATCCTTCAGGACGATGCCTGCAACAGCGAAGACTACAGCGCTGTACGAGCCGACTTTAACGCTCTTCATCCATGCCCCGTTGAACGCGCCGGTGGCTATTCCTGCCAGGCCATAGTTGAGCCTGTCGTCCTTTCCTCTCAAGTTGGTGAACATGCAAGATGTCGATGAGAAAGTGACCACACTGCCGACCAGTGATCCTGTCAGAAATCCGTATCGAGCGAAGGTCGCAGCGTAGCCCTTTGGGTGCGAGTTGAGTAGGATCTCTATCGAAGACCCCACGAGACCGTACAAGGTTGAGTACTTCGTAACGTACCAAAGTTTCTTGAAACAGTCCTGACCATCAGGGGTGTCGTGGTATTTGTATTCATTTTTGAATACGTACTCGGATATTGGGCCCATTTTAGACCTTTTATAACGTATGCACTATACTCAGATTCGGATAAAAAAAGAGACTTACAATATTAAATTAAAGGCCGGCAATCTGGCACTACAGTTCACTCCACTTCTTAATTCTTGGCCAAAAGGTATTTTTCAACCAACCTCTCGGAAGGTTCTAGCATTTGTAAAAACCTAACCGGACAGCCTTACAGCTATGTCGTCACATGTGGAGATCATAACATGATGTCATGACAAAGACTAGGCCTATTTGTTCTCAATTACTAGAAACAAATAAAAACATTATAATCCAAGTTTTCCTTAATTTTTTTTAATTACCCGAACTAAAAAAACCTTTTCCTATCTGTCTGTCAGAACTGAAAGGGGAAAGATTTCAAATTCTACCTTCTCTCTCAATTTCAGCTGGTGTACCCTAAGGCTCTATTTTGGACCTTTACTTTTTACTATGTTCCTAAATGGCATTCCATTAGTTCTTAATTTCTCCTAATGTCATTTGTACGGTGATGACACTCAGCTTAACATTCAGTGTTCTATAAGCAGCATAACGGCATTCTTTTTAATCCTAACGAATTTTTTTATATATTTTTATTTATTTATTTAAACAGATAGATGCCCAAAATGCAATACATTTAGTTAAATTATATGTTTGTAAAAGATTAAATGAAAAACAATATTATTAAAAGCCTATTTATAGAGTATAAACCTAACATTAATTTATTATAATTATATACTTACTAAACAATCAGAACAAATAATCTATTCTACTAGACAGAGATAGACTTAAAACTTTCAATTATAATAAAAAAGACAAAAGTAGCAATCTAATTATTTTAAATAACTAGGAGATATGACCTAATGGTTTGTAAAGAACTATTAATATGCCTATTCGTGGGCACTTCAATAATGTTATTAACTATTTTTTGGAGTCTGTTGATACCGGAATGAAGAAGATAATCGTGAGGAATGAAAAGTGTGATTGATATCTTTGATTATGGCGTGGAACTCAACAAGTGAGAAAGTAATAAATCACAACTGCTGGTCAATACTATCAATAATGTAAACTAATATAAATGTGTATAGTCTTCTGTTAGACTAAATCAGGCTAATAACAATTTGCGGAGTATGTACCCAGCATGATTATGATGAAAGGAGACTAGGAAATGGGGTTTATATTACTCAAGCACTGCAGACCTGGCTTATTGTATTTTCCAAGTTACTTAGTTCAGTCTATCGGTTTGATCCTTCTTTTAAGGAATACTAAGTCACTGACTGTCATTGCTACATCCCTCGTCTCTATTGAGTAATTGGTTCACATTTGAAGATGATATACGTTGCTATTTCTTCTTCCTCATTGCTTAATTTATATGGGATCTTCGTTGTATATACCCATGTTGTGAAGATGTTTTCTCAGATGCAAGTGATTGGTTAATAGTCCTATCACTCCTCTGAGTTTAACCCTTTCTAACTGTGTCAACGAATTTGCCAGTCTTGATGAGGTTATGTTTTAGCATAAGTTTACTGTGCCTCTTTTGTCTTTTTTAGATTCATTCTGGGATGTAGGATTCTGTGTTTGTTTGTATTATCCCAAGAAGAGGTTCAGCCTATATATGGTCTTACAGATCTTCCTCTGGTCAGCCTGCCTTTTTAATCCTGGTACCCAAGATATTATCAGGTTGTTGTTGTTTTTCCCCAGGTGTTGGAGATTTTGGATGCATTCACTGATTAATTGTATTTATTTACTGATCGAAATCCACTATAAAAAAGACATTTTACAATAACAAAAAATATAAATGATATAAAAATACAAATAATATATATAAAAAGAATAAGGACGTATATGCATGGTAATAATATAAATGGTAAATAAAAATGATAAATATAAAAATACAATTAAAGAGTAAAAACTAAACAACAAAAATGAAATACATAATTACTAACCAAATAAGGCAGAGGAAACAAAATAAAGCTGAAAGACAATTGAAACTACAATAATTAGATACATATTTAATGAAAATAATGCTCTTTGTAAATATGTAATATGACTAAAGTGCGAGAATTAGTTGAACCAGTAAATGAAATAAATTGTAATAATTTTGTACAGTATGAAATATAAAATCATTGAAATATAAAAGCACTTTGATGAGGTTTTATTGTTACATGCTAATGTTTTTATTCGCTTGCCTATCCAATCTTATGAGGATTTTTTTGCCTCTTTTAAGATTGTCTAATGCACAAGAATTGATGGCATGTATTTCAGCTTGAACTGAGGTGTACTTTCCTTGTGTTTGATTGTTCATGTTTTGGGCATAAATAAAAACCACCTGATCAGATTCCTTCATTTTAGAGTTATCTGTATACCACAGCTATGTAGTAGAAACTTTTGTATAGTTTTTGCTTTCACCAATAAAAACAGAGTTATTTAATACAATAAGATATCTATTCTGCCTGGATGAGAGAGACTTGTGTATCCTTATTTATTGATTAAGGATCTTAGTTTGCTTAAACTAGAAAATTGGTCTTTTTGAAGCAAATTGTTTGCTTGCACATCTTTCAGCTCATCAAAAATTCCCTAATTGTTTTAAATTACATTTGCTTACGAAATCAGGAAGAAGCTTGTAATTAAACAAAATGATAAATTTAACTTAAGAAAACTAGAGATTGTTGAACTAGAAAAATGCATGACTGAGAAAAGGAAACAACCTGCCGATAAGGACTCCCCATTCACCATTGTACCGATAAGGTTTTCGAATCGTTCACGCACGGGTGGATCAACCTGCACAGGAATTCCTCTCCAGCTGATCATCATCGGAATGACTGGGCCTCCAGTGACATTTTTTCAAAAGTGACAGCGACCAGGGTTCATCATCTCTGGAGATAGGAAACCGGTTCGGCTCGATGCCACACGATCAACAATAATTGACGGTATTTAACTCGTATTTTTGGTTTTTATATTGTTAATTTACTAGATGTGAGGAAACAAATATTGAAAATTTAAAACTTATTTTCCCCTCCTAGTTTTCGTTTAAAATCGAACACGTTTTCTCTTTCGGTTTGAAAGCAGAGACAGATGTAAATTACAATCCTATTACCTTTGATGACTCAATCAATTTCCAAGAGCCTAGAATTTTATCTATCACTTGACCAAAAGAAGACAACTTTGACAAGATCTTGTCATTGAGAAACATTTCATTATAAACATTCACTGGAGACAATCGCCTGTGATCTTAAATTGCAACAATTATTGAAATCAAAAGAATTGACATTGCAAGTTATTTTTTAACAAAATTGTACAAACCAGGTTGCCCTGTAATCAGTTCTAAAGATAAGTGAAACTGAGATGCAAATTACAGTAATTAGTTATTAATTAATTAATAGTCCAGAAGTCCCGATACCTCAAGTGGTTGGAGCAGCGGCATAGCTAAAGGTCATGAGCTCGTAACCCACTCATGACACTAGCTTTTTCATCACAACCAAGACCTTAGATAAAAAGTATAATTAGCCGTTTACATCCATCTAAAAGGACTGTCGTGAATTTAATTTAAAAAAATATATATATATGAAGAGGCACTGGTTGTCTCTCCCTGCCCCCTGGACGCTGGATCCACTGGCCCTCGACTCAGACATCACATGGACACCTAGTCCAAAGTAATTATTCCAGATAATTTCAAGGCATCCATAACCCATTGTGGTAGACTTACAAATTTAAATTTTAAAAAAGTGTTAATTAAAATATTTAATATGGTCAATGACTACTAAATACATATGTTATGGTCTGTCCCAGAAGGGCCCAACTCTGAATCCTTTTTATTAGGAAAAGAGCCCCAGAGGTCTTGTTCGAACCTGAATACAAACTGACCGGGTGCCTTTTTATAATAAAATTTAATTCGTCTTAAAATCATTTATTAATTACACAAGAAAATAACAATTAAGACAAATTAAATTTCCTTTTTAGATTTTAAAACAAACAATTAAAACTTTTTAAATTTAACCAATAATTTCATGCAAACCGTATGCCAGACCATTTGGAAGACTTTACTTTATATTTACAGTTCATCTGCTGTGGACCAAAGCACTCTTTTTTAGGGATTCCAACACTTTTTTAAAACTCTTTTCAGGATCTCACACTTCTTTCTGTCTCTTTTCTACACGGAATGGACTTCTAGACTGACCATCTCTACCCTAATCGTGGAAATCCTCTTTTTTTTTACTCTAAGACTAATTATAAAATCTAAATCACCTTGTCTCTATGAAATAAATAGAAATGTGACACATATATGAATTAATTTAAATTAGCTATATTGAGACAATTTTTACATGACTGCGGTGAAATTCTGTTGATCACATTATCAACAAAACCATACTGACTGCCGGTACAGTCCAATTATCCAAACTCCAAACATCCATACCTCTTAAGATACAAAATTAAGTTTTAAAAGGAGAAATCAAAACAAAAATAGTTGGTTGAGTTATTTCACAGTTTGTTACAACCAATATCTGTGACTGAAATTATGAAACGCTGTTACATCTGGCTAAGAAATCTGATAAGAAATCTTTTGCTAGAAGGTGAAATGAAGGCATTGTGGTCCATCAAAAAAATCAATATTAAAGACTGCACATACATGGTCACGCAAGCATGGGGTTTAGTGGAGCAACAAAGTTAAGAAGATCCTGGGCCAAATTGAAAGATGTTTCAACTAACGATGAGGTACAGAAAGAAAAAGAAATGAGAAACTACAAGAAAAAAAGGGGAGAAAGAGGGAGAAGAGTGCTAAAGTAACAACATAGCACATGTGGGGTATTTTTAATCAAATTCCTGTATGTTCAGCAGTATAAAGGAAGCGACCGGCTATCATGTGATTATGCTGACCCCCAGGTTCCACATTCTTACTGATGACGATCTTATACAAAATGGGACAGAATTGGATGAACAAGATGATTATGAATTATTGCCGAAGTGGATAAGGGCCTTTCATCTAGTGAGGTGTTCCAATTACTTAAAGTGAACGGAGTGACAGCCTGAGTGTGACCACCTTCAGCTTCTCATGGTCAAACGGATGTGGGTCTTTGCTGCACGGAAACGATGAAGGGCCTCAAACAAATAATTTTTATTGATATTTTTCAGAAGTAAAATTATTTTTATTATTTTGCACTCAACTACAGAATACATAAAAAAATATCCATGCCTGGTCCTAATAATCCAGATAATTGGAGAGTTCTATTGTGTTTACACCCAAAGACACAAAAAAAAAAAAAAAAATCAGTTAATTTCTAGAGCCAACTTGTCGAATGAGTTAATTGGTTTTTGAAATTTTTGTTTTGATGATATCAGCATATTGACATGGTAAACATGACTGTAAGGTTAATGTCGTCCTGGGTTCAAATCCAGCAGCCCTGCATTCAACTCGACATACTTACAAATGAGCTTTTTTTTTTCAAAAACACTGACACCCTGAGAGTTGTGAATCTTGTGAATCTGTTGTGAATCTTCGTTTAAACAAATAAATAAATTTGAATAATTAATTATTATTTTTTTCTTAAAAGCGTGGTTTTAAGTCAAGAAGATCTCATCCAGGCAAATTCTTTGGCCAGCGATGGGATTAGCCTTACGTAACCCAAGTCCTGTGTTCAACGTGTTCTACAGGTTCATCGTAGATGGTCTACAGTGGTTTAGAGCTACAAGAAGTCTCAATCGAAGAGAATTTGTGGACAACCACAAAATAAAATGGCTGGAGACATTGTTTTATTTCTCTTACCACTCTACGGAACTGTAATTTAACGTTTCCTTGATAGGTAGTCAACTACAAATGGACTGTAAGTAAGGGTGAGCTTTAAAACAGTCATAAGAATGCTTCGTGAGAATAGCTTAGTTTCTAGATATCCCACTTCAGATTCTCTACAACAAACTGACAACAATGATATCTCACTGGACACAATCTCTACATGTTTATTTAGATGTATGGACCAGCTTGATCAAAACGACAAAACCACAGTTTTTTCACCTTGCAGATACTAAGAAGAAATATCACAATCAATTGTTTGGAGGAATGGAGTCCAATTCAAGAGGAAACATGAAGGAGAATGGAATAAATAGGAGAGAAGATAATACTTTAATTCACAAGTCATTTCTTACTGGACACAGATCTTCTGCTTTCTACTTGCAGACAGGATGAAAGAAATGCCATAATTTGAAAAAGAAAATTTGAATATTATGTAAGAATTCAAATAAGTGGATAAGGCATCTGACTCATATTTGCTATCGGTCCTGGGTTCAAACCCCACCATAACACATGGATTTTTAATTGTGAATAATATGAAGAAAATATTGTGTAGTTGTGTTGGGTAGTTGGACGTTAAGCCCTCCTGTATGGTAGGAATTACTCTTTACTTTTTTTTTTACTGGAACAGCATCTGAAAAAAATTTGATTTGTAAAAGTAAGTACAAAGAAGCAGAAGAAATCCTGAGATTTTTATTATACTAATGGACTGCAGAGCAACATTCAGGGTCATAGACCTTCTACAACATTGGAAAATGCACTATCAGATACATCTGAATACATCTGAGCAGAAGAAAATATGATATTCAATAATCTACATTTATACTAGAATTGCAATAATCATCATGCAACTTCAAGGAGAAAGTGTTAGAATACTTAGAAAAAAGCAGGAAGAAATGTTTTAAATACTGTCAAAATGTTAGATAATAAATTATCAAATACGTAAACTAAACCAACAGCAGTTACTTAATACATAGCTTTATTCATAATTATTTTTAGAAATAAAACTATTTTATGAGTCTGTATGTTTTATACATCCATAGACTTTATTTTTTTACTATCTTATACATATAAAAAGTATATTAAAAAAATTAAAAAACAATCAAATATACTTAGATACATATGTACTTGAAATGTATTAGGTTGTGTTTTTGTTTTGCCCCATAGGAGTCCTAGTGTATTAAGAAATACATATTCAAAATGTATGCAAGGAAAAAAGCGAGCTTACGAATCGATGAATCATACTTAAAATGTAAATCCTGTAAGGAATATTATGGCAATGAAGAATGGGATGGATTATGCTCACAGTGCAACAGGGAGCAAATCCAAAAGAGGCGAGAAAAGGAAGCGAAATTTGAAAAGTATGTTTTTTAAATGAATTGTTGAATTTTTATTCTCTTAAAATTGTTCCGATTCAACAGGGAGATACAGCAGAAATCTCCCGTGACAGGATTTACAAAATTTGAAGAGAAGAAACGTTTACAAACAGAGAAGAAAAACAAGCTCCTTAAAATAAAAGTATTCGGGATGTCGCCAAACTCCAAAGGTAAAAATATAAACAAACAGAAAGGGACAAATTATTTATAAATGCTTTATTTTATTAGAGGGCAGAGTTGAAGCTCTGTTCGGTCCGGACACCAAAGAGGCTGAGGCGATTCATCAGAGTTGTCAGGAACTTTTCAACACCGTAGGTGCCAAAGTTGAAACAGACATACACAAGTGTATTAAAACGTTTTATAAAAAAATAATTTGTGAGGCTGAAAATCCGATGACTTCGATCGAAGATGTTTCAGAGCGGACACAAAATTTTTACCAAATCTTGAATAAAAGGATGGATGAAGAGCAAGTTTATTCGGGTAAGTAATAATAAAAATATCTCTTAGTGAAATTATTATTTTTATTTTGTTTTTAAGGGGTCACTAACGAACAGAAGGAGCAGCTATTAGACTACACTGAAAAATATGCTATGACTTGCCTTTACCATTCCTTGTTTTGCCCCGCCAATACGACTGATGAAGAAAAAGACCTTAACATCCAAAAAAGGTCTACAATAATGCATTTTATCATTCTTTCATTCCATATTTATTATTTTATTGGTTTATTTTAGAATACGTCAGTTGAATTGGGTTAGTGCGACTCATGTAGATTGCAGGATAAGCGAGACAAGTACAGAAGTTCATGACTTAGTGTATTCAGCAATAACAGGCATGTGTAAATTTTGGTTTTAAACAATACTATAATAAAAATGTTCATCTTTTCTAGATCTGCTGGGGATGGATTCGGCAAAAGCTCCACAGGACAAGTTAAGATGTGTGGTAAGGTGCTGTCGGAAGATCCTGATGTTGATGCAGAAATGCGTTGGAGGCCCGGCATCCGCCGATGAATTTTTGCCTGCTTTAATTTTCATAGTTTTAAAAGCAAATCCAGCCCGTCTCAAGAGCAACATTAATTATGTGACAAGGTAATTATTAAAATGTAAAAACTAAAATAGAACTTGATTAAATCCCGATATCCTCATTGATTTCAAAAAATAAGTTTTTAGCTAGTACAACAATAATTTGTGTTAAGGCCTGTGTGTTAAATGTTAAACTTTTATTATTTTATCCAATCACCTCTTTGGGAAGAATGGCATTTCATCACATTTTCATTAATTATTTTATCATTCATTAATTGACTTGTCATCTCACACTTCCATAAATACAACTACCCAAACTAGTGAGTGTAGGTAGGCCAAAGAAGATATTAACTTTTTAATTAATTATGCTTTTTATCTAAGATCTTAGTCGAGATGAAAAAATTAGTGTTAGTGGGATACGAACCCACAACCTTTGGCTCAATATGCTGCTGCTCTAATCACTTGAGCTATCGCGACTTAGATACCAACTCATCTCAACCTACAACTTTTCAAATTTTTCCTCTTTTTGCCATATTTTCACATGTTGAAATCAACATTCAATTCTCATCTATTTATGAAGTGGCCAGGTGGGGAGGTGGTAGTGAAGTAATTACTCCTGTGATTATTATGTTATAAAGTTTAATTAATTATATTTTTTATCTAAGGTTGATGGGTTTGAATCTTGCTCGTGACACTAACTTTTTCATCTTAACCAAGACCTCAGATAAACAGTACAACTAATTAAAATAATACCGTTAATTATGACTATTAAACATATATGAAGATAATAAGACCCCTCTGAGGCTACAGCTTATGGAAGGGGCTTTACTTACTGACATGTTTTTTTTTAATTTTTTTTAACGAGGGTATTTCAACTATGAGTTATTTGAACCCTTGGGGTGCCAGTGTTTTCGAAAAAGCCCCCCAAAAAATTGTATGTACGTATGCAGAGTCGCTGGTTTCAAACTTGGGATCTTTACCTTACAGTGATGAGCGCCATGCCAACATCTAAACCGTTGCAGCCACCAAGGCCCTCTACCAATATGTTTAAATTTAAATAAAGGTTTTCACATGTACTAGCTCGTATTTAGTTTGTCCCCTGACTTTAAAATCCTGAAAGGGACATAGAATAAATTGGTTGAAAAAATTATTAATTTAACTCTTGTCATAGGGGTCGTAGTACTTCATCTTGTCTTGTTGTGATAGGTCTTCCGTTGTGCTCTTGTTGGAGAGAAGTGTTGTCTGAATACCTAGAGAACTTTTATGTAATGACGCCCTGAAATCAGAAAATCTGGATTTAATCAATATTGCTTCAATATCAATGTCAATACTCTTTTTTTCACCTTATGTGATCAATATTGACGTGTAAGGGACATTTAACAAGAGCACTGAACTAGGTGGCCCTCGGAGGATCTGACTCATACAGAAGTGTCATCCTCACCTGATAAAGAATAGGCCTGTGAGGTTGGCACACAGGCACTTGCTGTGGGTTAAAGGCTGTGTTTGTGTCCATCATGCCGAGAAAAGTTGCTAGGGGTGTACCACCTAGTTGAGGGGTGCAATGAGTATGTAAATAAGAAATAATGCATTTAAGAGTGTGTGAGGGTTATTATATAAAGTGCTGATATTGTTGTGCATCCTAGTGAGTGTTGAGACTGTATGTATTTATCAGCATGAATGTGTAATTTATTGAAAACTAGAAAAGTTTGGATTGCCAGTGGACTGCGAGAAGTGATAGGATCTGTGCTCGCATGTATGTATGTACATGCTTTTGTAAATTTGAGCTTATATAAATCAGTAATCGGTACTTCTTGCTATTCCTACCAGTTCCTGGCCCTTGTAATTCCTCCATCCGTTTTTATAGCTATATTTAGAAAAAAAACTTAAGAAATTCATAATTTATTTAATTACTTAAAAAATAAGTCTGTGATGTTACATCTGATGCAAGTACATAATTGTTGTTCTGTGCCTTGTTTTGTTAGATTTTGTAATGCAAGTCGCCTCATGTCTGGAGAGGGTGGTTACTACTTTACAAACCTGGTGAAAATATTAAAGATGATTTAAAAATTAACAATAAAGTAAATATTTAATAGCCCATGATTTTTTTTATACAGTGTTGTGCAGTCTCTTTTATTGAAAATTTAACAGCTGAATCGTTGAATATGCCGGAAGACGAATTTCAGCAGTACATGGAAGGGAAAATTTTGCCTTCAAGTACTTGGGAATCTGCTCTAATCATGTGCGAGGTAAGTTTTTAATTTGATAATTTTTGTAAACATTGTGTTTGTGATTTAGCTGTAATATTATTCAAAGGGCATGCATTTAATGAATGAGAATATGGTTATATTTGCCGATATAAGAAAAAGGCAGGAGGTGGCTAGAAATCAGATTGCAATGCTAAAAGCAAAGAATCAGAAATTCGAGGTGAGTAAAAAAGAAATAATTTTTTCGGTTTATTTTTTAAGAAATATTGTTTTACAGGAAGAAATGTTGAATAAGATAAATGAACTTAAGGAAAATATTCCGTTGAAACTGAGACCTTTGAAAGAGCCCACTGACTTAGATGCTGAAGACCCGTTTGTACCTAATCTTCCACCCCCTCTCGCTCCACAAGTATAGACAGATTTTATGTCAATATGTTTAAAAAGAAATTTTTCTAAGCCGAATTCTGATTTAGATTGTTAGTCATGAAGCCGATGTAAAGCCCCCGGCAAAAATAGAATCGCCTGAATCGCCAGATTGGCATTTGACGTCTTTGCCAGACCAAACGCTTACATCTATCAATTACGACTTTGACCTCTCTGACCTCTCTGGTGGTGAAACGAGCACTTGTGAGGATTTGAATACATCCACATTACAATCAATAGGTATGTAATATACTATGATATATGAAATAAGTTAATATTACAAGATAAATACTGGGTAACCAAAAAACTTTATGTTTAAATGGTTTAATAATTGACACAATTAAAATTAGTTTAGAAATATTTTATTCATTGAAATAATCTTCATTGGTGTCTATAAACTTCTCCCAATGAGTTATACCCTTCTTATAGAAGTTTGGATCCCAGGACTTAAAGTTTCATTCTTTCATTCTCCAACTGTTGGCAATTATCAAAGTCCCAATTGTGCTATATTGCTAAGAAAAGGTGAAAGACAGCTGGGGCCAGGTATGGAGGGTGTGGTAGGACTTCCCAACCAAGCTGCATTACCATTGTTCTAGCCGTATGAGGTCTCGTGTTATCCTGATGGAAAATTGAGAAATGAGAGCAGGTTGTTTCTTGGCCAAGACAAGAGATACTCGTTGCAGTTGGCTTGAGTAAATTTCTGTGGTGATGGTCTGGCTATATGGCAGGAGGAAGTAATGGACAATACATGCCATACTCCACCAAACACAAAATACGATTTTATTGGTGAATATTTGGTTCTTACGTCAATGGTATGACCTCCTGGTTACTTGGCGTACTCTATTTTTCATCATGTGACAAGTTAAAAAACGTTTTTACATTATGCTGAGAAATTCATTAAATGCAAATATTTAGATGTTGAAGCTTGTTACCGTCGGTCAATTTATTAGGATGATTGTTCACAAAATGAATGGTTTCATCACTACTTTTTAATGCTCCAAACGTGTCCAACTCAAGTCAAGTTTGATAGCTTTCTCAGCTTATTCGAGACAGGTCTACCAAACTGCGGTTCATCTTCAATTTCCTCATTCCCAGAAGTAATCTTTTTGGACTACTGCAGTGCACTCACTTAATCCTACACCACCCAACACAGTGCAAATTTTACTAGCCATCTCGGCCGCCTTAGTACCGAGCTTAATTCATACAATAAACAGGCACGAATTTAGATAATAAAGACAATATTTTATCATTTATAGTGAACTGTTTAAGGCACTTTTTCTTTATGAACTTGCACATTATCCTCTTGGCATTATGTGATTCAACTATATTAAAACATCAACAAATAAAAAACCACACAAACTTTTCTGCTTACCAGCTACCATGTATACATAATATTGAGGGTCATTTTAATCAAGTTTGCAAGGAAGAACCAGTAGATGTGTATTTTTGTTGATAGTTCAGCGAGATTTATATTTAAAAAAAAAAAAAAATATTGGGTTGTCCGAAAAATAATGCTGGTTTTCATGTTTTCTTTCAATTGTTCCTCTATATAATAAACTGTTTATGTTTTTTTATTATTATTATTATTATTTTTTTTTTTTTTTTAACGAGGGTTCGCAACAGCAGAGGTCATATAAACCCTCATGGTGCCGGTGTTTTTGAAAAAAAAAGCCCATTTTTAAGTATGTCGGGTTCGAATACAGGGCCGCTGGATTCGAAGCCGGGACCTTTACCTTACAGTGATGAGCGCCGTGTCAAAGACTAAACCTTGCGGCCACCGACGCCCCTAACTGTTTATGTTTGATTTATTATTGTTTATGTTGATGGATTTTGTACGAATGTCAACACTTTTTAGCCCTCTTCCAAACAAAAATGTTTGTTTACCTCAGTAGCATTTCATTACTTGGTCTTAGATAGATATACTTTATTTACAAAATGAAAGAAATTTAGAGTTAAAAATAAAAAAATAGTATTATTAAGGCATGGTATTAAGACCGTCAGCTAGAGTTTGGATTGCATTACTATTCCAAGAATATACATAATTATGTTATTATAAGAAAAGGAGAATTTACAATATCAACTTCAGAGGTTACAATTATTTACAGGATTTTCAAATTACAAGATTGAAATGCGATAAGCTTTGAAAATAATAAAAATGACACTTCAAAGAACCAAAGCAAGGATTCCAACTAATAAGGGCTATAAGCTCTGCCCTCATCAGAAAACCCTTACCCACATACAGATACCTCAATTCGTTAAGGACCGACCATCTAGCGAGAAAATGAAATGCATCCTCACAATCACCTGAGTTGCATAGAGAGTACACTGCAGTGGCAGGAGTACCCCCAACCCAAGGCCTGAAATTCAGGAACTACAACTCCCCTCGAATTTTAAACCACCAGCGAAAAAAAGAGAATGGAGCATCATTTACTGGAGCAGAAAAAACATTCCAAGGAGTTAGGGAATGATTCAACTCCTTGTAGAGTTGGAATCTATTTGAATCCATGGCACGAGAAATACAACTCTCCCGATGACGAGCCCCCATAATATGAAGAAGATTGGAAAACATTTCAGACCATGCTGCAAAATTATCCAGAGAGAACCAAGCCACAATATACCTCTCCACAGAGAATTCCATGATTTGAACCAGGATATGTTACCCTTAATATCTTCAAGTGATGTGATTTTTGCCAGGCGAGAATCAGAAGCTTGAAGCGATTTCAAAATAAAATTAAAATGTAACCTTAAAGAATAAACAAACAACAGTTCTATGCCAGTTTCAATATACAACATATAATTAGGAGTTGATGATGGCAGGGCAAACAACTTACGAACAAAAAACGGTGAACATTTTCTATCTCTTCATATTCGCGATAGCCCTAAACTTGACCTGCATAACAAAGAATTGCACGACAAACGGGTGTAAAATTTTGATATTTACTTTTTATTGGTACAAGGCCATTTGAAATTAGGCCTTACATTACAAGGTCTTTATTCTTTACTCTTTACTTTACTAAGATGTTAACACATGATTTTAACGTAATTTTGTTTATGTGTTTAAACTTGGTAAAAACGGTGCTTAAATGACCAGAAACATTAATGAAGTCTGGATCGTTGGCAGTGTGAGTGAGAGTACTGTTCAGAGATGGTTTAAAAAATTTGTAGAGGGAAACTTGAAGCCTTGAAGACAAAGAAGGTCATGGAAGGATTTCTTCCCTAGATGATGATGTTCTGTGAACTTTCGTTGAAGAAAATATCAGAACAACTGTTCGGGAACTTACAGAGAATTTTTCAGTTAGCAAACTGACCATCGCTAGCCAGATTAAGGCAATTGGAAAGGTGAAAAAACTCGAAAGATTCTTCTTCCAAAGGTTCCTCATGCATTAAACGACCGCCAAAAAAATCATCGTTAGTTTTGAAGTTTGCCCTACACTTCTTTGCCGAAACAGAAATGTACCTTTTCTGGAATGTACATTCTGTACAGTGGCTCAACAAAGGAGAAGCAGCACCACATTTTCCAAAGCCCTCAACTCACCAAAAAAAGTGATAGTGACTCTTTGGTAGGCTTCATTTGCATTATTGAAGCATTCTTTTGTCAATCAGAAAAGCCTGATTCGTTACACAACAATGCTTGGCCTCATGTCTCACATGTAACAACACGAAAACTGTTGGCTCTTGGTTATGAGGTTCTGTGTCACCTTTCCCATTTTCTGTACCTCTCGTTTACCAGCTACCATTTTTTCAGACACCTGGACAATGTTTTACAACATAAACAATTAATTGATCAAAATACATCAGAAAATGCGTTTATAGAATTTGTTAATAATAAAGACTCAAAATTCTATTCAGAGGGTAGATAAAAGTTGCCATCACGTGGGGAGAAGTGTATTGAGAGTGATAAAAGATAGTTTAATTTAAAAAAAAATTAAAATAATTTATTTGTTTTTATTTTATAACTGTAAACTTGCATTATTTCGGGACAACCCAATTTTTTAAAAATTGATTTATGTATTTATTTTATTTATTTATTTATTTTTTAATAAATAAAGATTTAAATATTTTTTCAACTGTGTTTTGATAGAGATAGCCTCAGTTCAATCTTTGGATTTGAATGCTTACCACCCAACTATAGCGAGTAAATCAGGTTACTCACTTCTTGACGGCGATCAATCGCCCAAGTCCTCTGAGCAGCTTCCATCTCCTTTGAAACCACAGCCTACTTCAACTTATCATGTAAGTTTCCAGTTGATTATAAAAACCAAAAAAACAATGTGTGATTCTTCCAGGGGTTTTCTTCGCAAGGATGGCAGATCCCGAGTATCCCATGTGACACGGGTGCAGCGCCTTTTTCATCCGATTCCAGGAGGCTTGAAAACCAAAACAACAATAACAGCAACATTGGAAAGCTGGGTAGAGTCCCTGATGCAAATACTTATAACTAATAATTACGTTGGAAAAGTTTAAATGTTTAGACACTTTATCAGTATCAACTTAATTTTAATAACCTCTAATTGTATTAGAGGACATTATTTTTATATTGCTCCACATTTCCCCCACCCCTATATGAACATTTATACTGGCAAATTTAAACCAAAGAACATAATTTATTTTTCAAATTAATATTACAGAAAGTTTTAGGTCAAATCAATTTGTAGTTAATGGATCTCTCTCAGTTAGCTTACACAAGATAATTAATTTGTAAAAAATTACTAATTATTAAATAATTTTATTATCAATGCTAAACATTCAGGCCGTTATAAAATAAGTTTGTAAATAGAAGTTGTTTTGTTTATTGACTGTATTTAATGTACAAAAGAAGACATATAAAAAATATATTTTCTCCAAGTTTTTTGTAAATATTTTTCTTCCTACATTGACCAATTGTAAAAATCCTTTATTCCAATCATTTTTATACTTGAAAATAGGGCGACTGCACTAGCCGAGTGGTTAAAGTTATACTGATTCAATTCCCCACTGTCGACCCTGGCCTTTTTTTCATGCACATCTTCCTCCAAAAATTATATACAATGCAACAATCATACAATTGCGCTGGCTAACGTGGGAATCATAAAACCATAACAAATTATAATAAAAGATAAAACAAAACAAAAAATTACGGACAGGTAATAAAACTATTTTTTCTTTTTTATCAATAATTGTTAATTTTATTAGTTTCTGATTACAAGCTTATAGATGATGTATATGTTCAGACATTTCCTTCAGATTGGAGTACTAAATTAAATTCATGATGTACTATTAGTGACATAATTCAAATAACCGATTATGTTTTTCACTTAATTATTCATTTTTAATAGGGGTTTGTTATTATCAACAATTTATTGTAATTTGAAACACCTCTTTCTGGTTAGAGGTCCATAGTGATGCAGTATCATGCATACAGGGCTACATCTTAATGTCTTTTGTATCATTTATGAAAATGTTTAATAAAGTGGGACCTAAAACAGATCCCTTGCACAATACTTGCTCCAATACCCCTCCCCAGACTTTATTATTAATGTAATACAAAGTGAATCTGTATTTACACTTGTACACCACAGAAGAACTTTAGTTATACATAGCTATTCAGATATCGATTAAGTCACTAACCTCTACACATTTAGTTATACATAAGCTTGAATTAATGATACACCAAGTTCAAATATTATTAATAGTATTTGTGTAATTGTTATTATGCTTGAGAGGTAACATTCTCTGTTAATAATTAAGTTTCCTAATAGAACTATAAATAGATGACCGGTGATTATATTTGCTGTTAATCGGACTGCTAAAGATACATGAGTTTACTAGCCTGTAAAAATTTAATCATATTGCGGTGTTTTCTGCCAGCTCCTCCTTATACATACTTATGTTTATAAAACTAAATTTATTTCTTTTAAAATGAGAGGGGGTTTAAACCCCTAATAGTTTTTCGGCTACCGGTTGACGTATTTACAGTAGCAGTGCAGGTTATAGTGTAATACACACCCCAACTAATACATGTACATCATGTTTATAAAACTAAATTTATTTATAATCTAAACATACATGCAAGAGGGCTTAAAGACCTAATCGTACCTTTAAAATAAATAAACAAAATAATGCATGTCTCCCCCCCATAATATTAAAATAATTTAAATCATAGAGGGAAATTCACATGGATTGCAAGGCTTGATAATCTACGGAAACGATCTGTTCTTGGGTTGATATTCTAATTAAAATTTAATTTATTCGTGTTATTATATTTTTTTTACATGTACATTATATATATCACGTGGTTTTGAATAAATCTTAAAATGTATAAAAATGAATCGATTATTTATATCGATGGAAAAATCAATCCATTAGTAAATCATTGTTGTATGGTTATTTAAATAATAAAGGGTCTTTAAGATTAATGGTTATTATTATTTAGGGTAAGAGATTGGTGAAGGGACGGAAAAATGTTCATGTCTCGTCCCCGGCGGATGGAGACGGAGCGGAGGTTATTCATGCGTTCTCTGTGTAGAACAGATGGCAGTGAGTCGTCGGTATCAAGTGTATCTCTCCGTCTCATATTGAGTCTCAGTGAGCAGCGCGATCCCAAGTCTCGAGTTTCTCGTTCGGATGCCTGGTCTCTCGTCGATCGGATGTCAGGGATTGGGGCGGAGCGGGCGGCGATGCTGGTAGTCGGCGAGGCGGACCCCGGACACCGCGGGCGCGAGACGTGATTTTAATCCCGTGTCGTCCTTCTCGAAAGGAGGCGCGGCCATGTTCGACTTCGACTCTGCGGGAAGAGCACAACTCCTTTGAGAGGGCACCGCCACCCTTCTGTCACCGACATCCAACGATCAAACCGTCACCAGAATGCCATGCAATTTGAAGACGAGATACATTCCGGCGACTTTTGCGTGGGCCATCCTACTCGTCACGACTTCGCTATTTTTCTACTTCCCGTAAGTTTGCGAACCACTTACTATGTTTACCTCCTTGTAAACAACCCCGCGGTCCGCCTGGCCACGCTTTTTGGTGGACCTAGTTTCTACTCGAAGCCCTGCCCTTTTTTTTTTCTTCTTCTGATATTTTTGTCCGGTAACCTAAATCTAAAAGGGGGTCGTTTCCAGAAATCTGGATAGGGTCGTGGTGTCTATTTTCGGTCTGGCGCGTTGCGTTATCTCTCGACGGACGTTTCCGATTTTCAGCCGGGTTTTAATCGACCTTTTCTCCCTGTCTTTCCTCTCTCATCTCACAAGACACAAAAATACTCCCTATCAATTATCTCATTTTCTCCATTTGACTGAGATAAAACTTCAAAAACCATTCTTTCTTTTTACTTCCTATTGATTATAGTCTCAACGGTTTAAAGTTTAAACGATAATGTGATCTTCATATTGTCATTGATATCTCCAACCTTTTTGTAAGCTTCCCAATTAAATCAACAAATGTCATTATTGCTTATTGATAGGATCGCTCCAATAGTCAAAAATTATCAAGTTATTAAACCTGTTATATTTCTATTGATAGATGCACCACGTTCATATTTTCCCAGGGAAAAATATGAAATTCATGAGGTTTTTCATTGACATCTCCATACTTTACTTCTTTTTTAAAAAATCTAATCAATATGAATTCTTAACATTTTGGTTTTAAAAGAAATTTTGAAAATAGAATAGATTGCCTCACATTCCATGTAAAGAATAAATAAAACATGTTTTGGCTGTGGATTCAGTGATTACATCCATTATTTATTTTTTAAGTCTAACAGAAGTGATCACGTCATGGTGTTATCACTAATGATGTCATTTTACATATATTGCATGTATTGTCTGGTGTTTGTTTTTAATTTTATCTATGTTGAAAAAAAAAAAAAAAAAAATTGGACTTTCTAGAGATTGCTTCGTTGATGACAAGACAATTTTTTAAAGCAAAAACAAATCAACTTAATCTGTCGATAACAGCTACCATTTTTGCGTTAAGGATATGAACCTTTGTCATGTTATTGCTGACATCTCCATTGTGTTTTATTTCTAATTTTTTTCTTGTTTTCGCTAGAATTTTTATGTAATATATCCGTTTTTGTTTTAAAGGAAATTGAAAAATAGAACAGATTGCTTCACATTCCATGTAAACAATAAATTAAACATGTTTTGGCTGTGGATTCAGTGTTTAGATCCATTATTTTTTATTTTTAATGGAAGTGATCACGTCATTGTGTTATCACTAATGATGTCATTTTACATATATTGCATGTATTGTCTGGTGTTTTTTAATTTTATCTATAAGTTGAAAAAAAAACCTGGAATTTCTAGAGATTGCTTCAAGTTGATGACAAAGCAATTTTTCAAAACAAAAGCAAATAAACTTCCATACTTTTTTTTATTCTGATCTTCAAATTCATTTTTAATTATATATCCATTGTTAGTTTAAAGATAATTTGTAAATTTGAAGACATTGCCTCACTTTATGTGCAAAGATTTTTAAAAAAAGTTTTAGTTGTTGGCTCATTGATTAGCTTCATCTTTTTCTTTCTTTCTTTTTTTTAAAATATATATTTTATTACATCTAATGGATATGATCATGCCATCATGTTATCACTAATGTTTCATCAGTGTCATTTTACATATTGCATGTATTGCCTGGCTTTTGATAGGTTGTAAAAATTTGAAATTTCAAGTTTGCTTCATTAACTTCATCTGTTGATAACACCCACCAATTTTATGTTAAAATCATAGCATCCTCCTTTTGTCTTGTTATTGCTGGTGTCTCGCCAATATTTTTACTATTAATTTTTTACAATTAATATTAATTTAAAAAAAAAGTGTAATTTTCAAATTTTATCTATGATCTACACTAATATCTTCATATATTTTTAAGACGTTTTCAAAAATATTTGTATCGACATATTCCATTGACATTGTTTATTTGTATATAACTCAAGTTATATAACTACTGATTCATGCCATCAGTTTTTAACTTAAAGGATATGATCTGTCTTTCTGTTGTCACTGATAACATCTTCATATTGTTTTCCCAATCAAGCTAACAATCAAATGATGCAATATTAATTTTATTATGTTTAGGTTGAATGTAACTAACAAGAAATTGATTTGCTATGTTAAGGCATATTTTGTAACCATCTTAAATTATATGATGTTTATCATGTCATGTCATTGATGTATCTTCTGTCTTATTTTATTTATTTATTTATTTTTTAATAAATATTGTCACAAGTGGTAAAATTTAAGTTTAAAGTGCTTCTGTGACTGTTTTACAATTTGCAATTACTAATAATAACATGTAGTTTGAGGATATATATCGTATTGAGGGGTGGTAATCAATATTATTATCCAATTACATTTCACTCGCTACTTGATTGTTGATACTATCCTTCAAAATGTCCCATTTCTGCTTGAGACGGCTTATAGGATTTGTTGCATAAGGCTTGGGCAAGACTATGGGGGGGGGGATACGCTTTACTCTGGAAATCGGTAAATTTTTGAGGAATTAAATTTTGGATAAATGGGATTTTAAGGTCTGTGTGGAGGGTGATAGTGGAGACTAAATATGGAAATTTACAATTGATCTAAGGTCTTAGGAATTCTATTATGTACGTCCAAATCAGTTGTAGTGCTTTGCAGATTTTTAGAAATATTGCTTTGCTTTAAGCATATAACAATGGTACTCATACACATCATATAATAAATAAACTAATTAATTAAAACCAGGAACACAGAACAATGAAATAAATAGTTTTACACATAATTACCATGTCACATTCTCTCAAAAATGCATTATCGCTTCCACATTTTCACAAAAGCAAGAAAAATGGTTGCTCAAAATTACTCAGCATATACACCCTGTTGAAAAATTTCTATATTCCCACTTCATATTCTGCGAACGGGAATGGGAAAATTATATGCTTTATATTTTCCGGTTTGGCACACGTCTTGCCGTTTGGAGTAGCTCAATTGCTAATTTTATACATGTAGCATTGTAAATGCAGTGGTTTGAGCGAATCCAGGATATCGAAGCGAAAAATTCTTTTGTGCCATTAATTCCAGAGAACCGTGGTTTTCATCCCATTTTTGTGAATATGGATTTATACAGCAAACCTCTCAGTTCCTGTTTGCTGAAGAGGTGTTTTGTGTCCTTTGGCAGTTTGATATTCTCCATTCTTTGTCGCTTTGTTTTCAGATTGTAAGCTTGTTTTTTGATCAACAGCAGGTCATTTGTAGAGTAGAATGTAGCGTCTGTTTAGGAATTGTTAGTCATATAAGCTGGTTGTATGTTAAGAGTGAGTCCAGGTGGAATCCAAAGTAATGAACGCCGTCAGATTTGTGGATAGGAACATTATTATTATAGATTGTGATGGGAAATTTTCTTCAAAGTATAAATGTATTTGCTTGAATTGATTTTCGTTTTTTCATTGTTTACATCAGTGAGATATGTCATAGCTTCCGAAGCAACTGTAGAATCGGGGTCAGAGGATAGTACTCCTGAATCATCAACAAAGGATGTAAGGATAGTGATCAGTAGTCAGGATATTTGTGTAAAGGATACATAGGATTGGTCTAAGCGCTCTCCTCTGTGATACTCCTGCAGCCAGAGAGCAGTAGTCAGTAATCTGATCCTTGACAGGCCCAAAAGAACCACTCTAATAGATAAAAAATATTAAGACAATCTTCAATTTATACCCACCGTTGAAGTAAATCAAACAAATTTCCTGTTTGTTTCTTTATGTAAAACTTTTATTTAAAAAAAATAAACTTTTATAAATCAAGACATTGTTTCACTTGAATTAAATTACCATGGATTAGAGTTGGCAGTTTTAAAGTGAAAATGATCATCATGATGTTATATTGTCACAAATACTTCTAGGCATATGGATTGTTGTAACAGTGTGATAAAAATGATACAGAAAGAATAAACAATATATCTATATTTATGAAACTGCAACAAAATTTTTTTGATTGATTAATAAATTTATTAACAAAAAATGTAAACTTATAAAAAACAGTAAAAATGTAGTGAGTAAATAAAGGTGGAAATTTAAAAGGAAGTATTGACTCACGGCAATGGGTTTTTTCTAGACAGATCCTTTGGCCTCTATGCCTGATAGTGCCCTCTCACTATTTACATGCATACGATTATCCTCACACATTTTCGATGTCTTAAATATTACAGGCTATAAATTCAATAGAAAATCTTATTTTTTACTTTTTTTTTCTTACTGTAATATATCACATAATATTGCATATTTCAAAATCTTGATCTTATCCTTTAAAATGAAAGGGTGTTTATTTTTATTTTTTTTTTAAGTGTTATTTTTATGTGTATACTTTCTGTTGCAAATTTTTTTTAAAAATAAATTCCCTGTTTTTCAAGAGATAGATTCACAAAACACTGAATACATCGTTTTCTTCTAAAATTTTCTGACTTCTGATTACAGTCATCGATTTTAAGTGTAAAGGATGTGATCTATCATTTAGTTGTTCTGACATTGTTTCATTATTTTCACCATTGATCACATTAACGATGTCACAAATGTCCATGGAAAGGATCTCCTTAAAGTTTTTATTGTTGTATTTTCATGCATAGAATAAATTCTCAAATTTTAATTTAAAAGGGGAAAATGCAAATTTCATATCACTGATAACTTCTCCATTCATTGATTTTTTTAAAAATTAGATTTTCTGTATAATATTGAACATACATTTTCATTTTCTTGAATGAACAACTGTCTAGATTTGGCCATGTAGATGTTCTTTATGATAATATGTTGTCACTGATATCTCCTTATTTGTATGTTCATATAAATTTTTAAGTTCAAGAAGACATATTTAACAATCAAAGCGCATTGCAACATGTAACGTTTATAAATCCCCCTATTGCAAGTCATTTCACGGAAAGTATTTAGCACGTTGTACAAAACAAGGAGTCACTTGTGTGTTATTGGGTCACAAGGTTGTGTATGAATGACGTGCAACTCAAAGTTATAAGTTTATTTCAATATGCATGACATGTTAATTCATACTGCCTTTTACTCGAGGCCAAAAACTTGTTATGCTTAGAATGAACAAATATTTTTATTACTGTTATATTATATATAATTGTTCAAATGTACAATAATTCTTATAATTTATTTCCTTTAAACTATAAAGAATTTTAGCCTTTTCAGTTTTGTAAATGTCCGTTGTGTAAGTCAATTTTAACCCGTACATATTCTGTACGTGTTTTTCTCTTGAAATGAATCAATCTTTTAATCTCAAACATTAGCAAATGGGCCTTATGACTATTCATTAAAGCATGTGTTTATTGTGTCCCTGGTATAAATTTGTTACAATGTTGTCGAAAAAATAATTCACCTTTTTTTTAACCTCCTGGAAATATTTTCAAAATAACACAGAAACAAAATTCTCGGCTAATTTGTTTAAATAAATCTTTGTTATAAGTACATTGCCTGTATTGCTTCCTAATCCACTCCACTAAGATTTTTTTTTTTTCTAATAAGCAATGTTATTATTTAAAAATACAGCTATTACTGTATAGCAATAATATAGTATTATTCCAATTTTACATTATAAAAGTTGGAAATTTTATATTATTTTTCAAAGCGAGTTTTTTCCTTCCCATTCATCATAATACGTATATTGTATGCAATCCAATAAACTGCCTAATGCCAAGAATTATCAGTGTAAGGCTAATAATAATAATTTAAATAAGAGTAAGTTATAGCTACTAAAGCATGATTTGGTTTATTCGATTTTAATTTGATAGATCACAATTTGGCTATTTGTGAATTGGTTATTTTTCATTTATTTCCTAACTATACTTTGCTTACTTATTTTAAGTTAGAATCTAAACTTTTGTCAATCTAAAACCTTTTTTGTTTTATTTTGAAATAGATAATTTCATAAAAATGATTATAAACTTTGAATTAATTAAGATGTTTGCATTTTGAGAAAATAAAATCAATTTCAATTGATGTCTGAAACAATTTATATACATTGTGTACATAATGAAGGATAAAAATAAATCTTAATTGCGATTGATGAACTTTGAGGTATGTAAGCAAACTTTTTTCAGCAAATTTCTGTTAAAAACTTTCTCATGCGGTCACTTTTAATAGGCATTAAATTTTTTGTTATTGTCATCAGCTGTTACAGTTATAATATATATTTCTATTATATAATGATTTTTTCTGTATGTTTAGGTGCCAGTTCTTTATACACAAATACCCATGGGTACCGGCAATGCAAGGTGCGATTACATTCTTTGTGCTAGCAAATTTTACTTTAGCAACTTTCATGGACCCCGGTGTCATTCCGAAAGGTGAGTCAAAACATACTTCATTCATAAATATTTCATCGCGAATTTTATATTATAGTCTGTATTGAAAAAGTCAGTTCTAAGGAAACAAAATAGCCCTTCCATCATGTTTTATCTGGCATGTCTTCTGTTATTAAAAGACAAAATATTCCACTGAAGAGGAAAGATATTGGCATTTCCCTTCATTTTGAAAAGTTAATCAAATTATCACAATTTTACAGACTTCTTTTATTGATTTTTTTTTTTTTTAATTTATGTTGTCAGTTATATACATTTTTTTAAAGACTCTTCTCCATCACGGAATATATCCCAGGGAAGGCTGTCTCATCTAATTCCACCTGTGCTGTAAATAAATCAACTACAACAAAAATTGGTCTATAATTTATTTTCACTTACTTGAAGTCCATAACAAATGTCCGTAATTTCTTTTAATCATACCCTGCCTCAATAATAAAGATATCAAGGGGGAAATCATTTTCAAAAGCTTTTGATATTAAAACAGCTCCAATCTTTGTTAACTTTGTCACTAAATCAGGCTATGTACAAAGATAAGAGAGTGAAGTCATTCCGATTATGCAGCTCTTACAATGATTTCTATTACTAATTGTTTCTTTACCATTGTAGTTTTTATTTGAATGGAGATAAAAATAAATCTAACAATCTTTTAACAAGAAAATATTTTAGGAGATTAAAGAGTAATAAACTAATTTGAAAAATAAAAACTCTTAAGAAAGGCTGCTATATTGTTATGTAGGTCTTTCGCTATTTCTTATGATAATTAATAATTCTTGGCCAACTGGAAAGCTACTGCCCTTTGAGTGTCATGGATGAGGGGTCAAACCACTTTACAATACTTTTTCCAAATTAATCTCAAATAAAATTTCAAGTGCTATGTCAGGATTTGATCCTAGAATAGCTAGTGTGACAAATTCGATTTGGTCGCCTTAACTACTCTGCCCCTGCAGTCCGTTCCTGTAAATAATTAAGATTATATAAACACATATCTAAACTATAAAACTTTAAACCGGCACCAACAATGAAATCACCCAGAATCGAGAAAGAGGCCGACGGTAAAAATATTACCCAAACCCACCAAAAAAGTTGGCAGAATTGTTTAAAATAATTTTGGAATTCGCTTAGCTCAAGTTCATCAGACCTTAGCAAGAAATTTTACAATTTTAACCAAATGAGTAATACTACTCCTTTTTTCGGCTCTCCAGGTTTATGGCATATCCCCCATACATCTATAATGTGGCTTTACATTGATCGACGATGCATTATTATGGACTATGTTGTCAAGTCATGCACAGATTGATATATTTTGCCAAGCAGTTTATTGATCTTTTTCAAACCTGGAAGGGTTTCAGAAAGGTTATTTTTTCTTTTTACAATTTTTTTGATATACACATACATCACATATCACAGTAATTATGATGAGAGCGATAGTTTGGGCCTCGTGTCCAATTGTCTAATTGAATTTGTAGAAATCTGATGGTGTAGGCCACTGAATGATATTCCATTTAAAGTATGCTATATTATTGCTGGTCTGCACCAGTGATTGTTTAAGAGAATTTGAATGATGTTATTTACTTCTGGTGCTGCATAAGGGCTGAAGGAAAAAAAATTGCTCCTTTTTCCTGTGCATATTTCAACCGCATTCTTCAAATCTTCCGTAAATGGAAATGTTTCCGCTAAACATAATGCTAGACAGACAATTAAGATTGTCTATGGACATTTGCTAACAGGCATTTATGCACTGTTTGGCTAAATGGATTTTCATTAATGGTTATTTGAAATTTTGTGCTTGCTACGGCGAGTTTCTTTTATAATCTTCAAATCGAATATATATCAAATTGTACGATAATTAATTAGGACTAATAAAAATTAATGAAAGTACATTTAATTTTTTAAGACATTGAATACATCAATAAAGATGAAATATGTGATTGCATATTTTCATTTATATGTATATTTGTGTGGAAATCAATTCATAAATTAATCCCCTCATATGTATAAATGATTCATTTATATGTGCATATAGTTGAATGTATATTTTTGATAACATATTCATGCATAATTGTTTTTATGCTACTGAGCCACTTATATGAATATTTGTTTTGTTTTTCCAGCCTCACCAGACGAAGATAGGGAAGATGATTTACGCTCCCCTCTTTACAAAAGCATTGACATTAACGGTATAAGCGTAAGGATGAAATGGTGCGTCACGTGTAAATTTTATCGGCCGCCGAGGTGTTCGCACTGCAGTGTGTGCAACCATTGTATAGAGGTAAAATAAATTGTAACAGTTGCCTTATTTGGTCGATTTTTTTTTTTTTTTTTTTTTTAATTTTATTTTACTCACGTTGTTGAGGCAACTGTGTAAAACATATGGCGGACTAATAACGAACTTTTTTCCAGACGTTTGACCACCACTGCCCTTGGGTCAACAACTGCATCGGAAGGAGGAATTACCGATATTTCTTTTTCTTCTTAGTCACTCTCAGCATTCACATGACATCAATTTTTACATGTTGTTTAATTTATATTTTGATTCATAAGGATAAACTTAATGAATTAACATCAATCATATCGTATCCTTTTTTTTAATTAAAGACAAACTTCTCTACTTATGTTAATTGCTTTTTAGGTTGTTTTATAAAATTTTAATTTTTATATTTTAATAATTTTAAACATTTTCCTTAATTAAATGCTACAGGTTGGGCATAGTGTCATTAATAGTTGTATTATTTATTCCAATATTTGGCCTCACGGGATTCCATATAGTATTGGTTGCAAGAGGCCGAACTACAAACGAACAAGTAACTGGGAAGTTCAAAGGTGGCTATAATCCGTTTTCATACGGTTGTTGGACGAATTGCTTTTACGTATTGTGCGGCCCTCAGTTTCCCAGGTAAATCTTCGCAAATTGTTCAAAGTTCTAATTAATTTTTTTAAATACTTTTTTTTACTTTTCAGTCTATTGAAACCGAACAAATACACTGGGAAGAAAAAAGAGAGTCCGTCGATATCGACGATAACGCATGACAGCCAACAGGTGAAAACATACATGGATACCAGCAATGGTGTCCGAAGCAATAATCCCAATGCTTACAATAAGGTAATTGAAAATGCCGTTTTCTTATTTAAATTAGTTTCTTTAATTTGTTTTAGAGCTGTTAACAAAGTGATCGTAGAAAAGCGAATAATGACAATCATATCTTTGTGCAAGCTGGCTTTGATAAAATTTCTAAAGTTAACTTCCCTATTCAACCTGGGAAATAATTTTTAGCCTAAAAAACAAAACAAAAACAGCATTAAAAGTCATTACTTTAAGGAAACCCTGTGTTCTTATATCACAGTTAATATAACAATATTGAATATGTATACGGAGAGGTATCGTTAAATGCAGTTTTGTCATCAATTAGTCTTTGTTAGATTGTATTTTTTTAAAGTGGCTCGCATGGATTCGTTTATTTTATTTTATTTTTTTGGAGATAATAAAAAAATTATTGCATGATTGATTGATTCAAGTGCCTAGGATGTGTCCAATTCATACAAATGCACTGCTACATCTATCAACTCTTGCAAAATATGTTTATAGCTTGTCATTCGTAATCCCATAATTACGCTTTCCTTTTATTATGCTTTACTGAACCATCACCATCATGTGAGATAAGTTTTTAAACCTTGACATGACAGATGAGAACTATTTTGATATCGGAATTTAAAAATTAAACATTTGGCTTAAATAAATATTAAATTTTCTGAAAAATTTTAGGTAAATTTTTTTGTTAAATAGCTTGTGCAGTTTTCTAATCCATGTTGTGTTTGAAATAAGATGGGCAAAATTAATTTTTTATTGTTCAATGATATTTAAAGTTTTTTTTATGAATGTCGAAATGTCCAGGTATCATTATGTTGAAATTAAGTCAAGAAATTCGTAGTTTGTTAAATTTCAGTTGTCTGGTGAAAACTAATTTAAATTGAATGCAAAATTAACAGGTCATGTATATAAAAAATCAAGGATAGGGCGAATTTGGAAAAACTCAGTACCTTAGTCAAGCTTTTGTGGAGTATATCGTTTTCATCGGGACTTCAACCTTTTCGGGACTCGTGATGAGTTAGCTAGTTTGGACTTGGAGGCACCCAGGCCCAATGACAAGCAATCTCGATCGGCCTTAGACGCCCCCAGGAGTTGTAACGAGTTATGTCTTTCTCGTTGTTTTTTGCATTTTACGAGGTCTAGGTGGACCCTCAGACTATCTATTGGGCTGAGGTTTTACCCACGGTTTTCCCGTCCTCTTCATGAACCATTTTCTCCCCCCTTTTGTTGTTTACCATATGGCCTCTCTCAAACTTCTTCAATTCATTCCTTTTTAGGTAAAACCCTTCTGTGTTTCATGGGGTATGAGTTAATTTTGATTTTCTCCTCTTCCAAATCCTCTACTCTTTCTATCTTTCTATTCTTTCACCTCTGCCTAGTGACTTCAATTTTATATACGATATATTTTTGTTGTCATTATATATTATAGATATTTTTTGGTCAATTCTGAACTCTGGTGTATGTATGTACATAGAGTTGAACTAAATAAAACAGTAATCATCATTATTATAATTTTTATTTAATTTTTTGTTTGTTTTGGTTAGTATGTTTAAATATACATAATGAATTATTTTTGTGAAATTTTCAAATAAATACAACTTTATTTGCTTTTCTCCTTCCATTTACTTAATTTTCTTGAAAACGATAATACCTGCCAAATTTTGAAGGGAATTTACCTCAAAAGGGCTAAAGCGTTTCAATGAACAAGTAAAATAAATCATGCTGGGGGAGGTCATGCCCCTAAAATGTTTACATTATTTCTGTTGTATTTTATTATTATTTTATATTAACACGACAAATTTCTTGATACTTCAGTATTAAAAATGATGGCTTCAACCATAATGAATTTATGAGTTTAGTTTAGTATAGAGAGGACGAGATCTGTACCCGTTCTAATAATTTTACTTATTTTTAGCTTTGGTTTTGAAATCTCATTAGCTATAAACTTTTAAAAATATGTTAAATGTTCTAGAGAGAGAAAAAAAGAAATGTTTGAAGTAACGTAAGAAGAATTTTGCCACTTGTCCAAGAAAAATAATAACGGTATATTGTACTATGAAAAATTTTAATTTATGCAGTTGTAGATGTTACATAGCATAAAAATGTGACTTATCTTTTGATTTTTTTGACAGGACGAGCTGATTGTTTTTGTTTTCTTTTTAATATACTTCTCTTGTCTAATGCTGATCAGTCAAGAAAGCAAGATATATATCCAGAATGTTGAAATTGTTTGTGTCCAGGTGAAATTCAAAGCCGTCAGAATTTTTTTTTTTTAATTGTCGAGGTAAACTTCAGCTTTAGATAAATATTTATTACCGAGCATCGGATTCTAAAAAGATTTAAATGTTATAAGAAATGCTTTAACTGGACAAATTGTAAATTATACATTTTAAATATGAAACAGTGAACACACTTGCACTCATCATGATAATCATCAACATCCCACTGACAGCCTGAAATGTGTAATTATTCTATAAGAATAAATAATTGATAAATTATTTAATTAACATTGAGCCACAGTTATTTCTAGTATTTTATAACCTGATGTAAGTTTTAAAATAACTATTAACTTTGATAAACTTACAATTTTACAATGAATTATTATTTATCTTACATTTTTTCAATACAGCTTTTTTTGTTATAATTTTGATTTAGCTTTAACAAGCTTAAATATTATTTTATAATGTAGCGTAAAATGATTAGTGGTTAAATTATAAGTTTACATTAAAATTACTAATAAAAATACAGGCTCTATATTGGTTTTTGTGTGGTGCAGCAAGGGAATGCCGGCGTAGACCACCAAAGAATACCTGAAAGAGATGTATGTTTACATTATATATTTCAGACTCCACTGTAGCTCTCATGCATAATGCTTTAAAAAAAAAGTTGGCTTTTTTAAGGGGGTACACTGAGCTTATTGATTAGCAGTATAGGTATTCTATATTTGGCGGTTAAGCTCTGCACATTAGCTTAATTTTTTTTTTTCCCCCCAATATATATAATTTTTTTGGGAGGGGATTTTAGTTTCAGTTATAAAATGGCAATGCATGTTGATATAATTTAATAACGCAAAATCTGAATTTGTCTTGTTTAATAAAAAAAAAAACGTTCGATTTCTCTTTTGTAGCTATCGCCGGGGCGTGACGTCTGTGACGAAATGATGGAACCGACAGCTTCGCAGTCGCAAGATTGCGAGCCGACTCCTCCTCTTCACAGGCATGGGTCCAAGACAAACTTCTACCTTCCACCAGTTGATGCAGATTCTCCGCGCAACTATCCACCAAGACCACGAACAAGGTAAAATATTTTAAAATCTAAATTAGACAAAATATATGTATATTTTGTACATATACACATGAAAAAAAATGTTTCAGAGTTTAATCAAATTGCAAAACGATTGAACATCTGATTAATTCAAATTAACGTAAATTTGAAGGGTCCCAATCCTTAGTGACTTGTTTTTTTGGTGTTATAATTTTCGTGATATTCTTTTATTTATTAGTCATGCGATTGTTATACCTTCCAGCACTCCAAAGCTGCCTCGAGTGTTTTGTACACCTGTACAATGAACTGAAACTGAATTGTTTTTAACTATTCCCACTTGTTTTGAAATGGCACATTTATTAGAATGAATCGGAACTCTTTGTTTGAGATAAGTCACATGGATGGAAAAATAGAACCTTGTGCTTGTTCTAGATCAGTGATTCCCTAACTTTGCGCCATGGCTGTGCTACAAGGGTGCTGCAGAAATTTTCTATAAAAAGTATTATTTTTATATTTACAAAAACCTATAAACTGAACCCCCTCTATATAAAACCCTAAAAACTAACATCCAATTTCAATGTGGATGTTAACGATACAGCTGCAATTGCATTTTATATTACTGACCAAAAATATATTCACTTTTATATTTTTGCTATTCAATGCTTAATTGCTTTTCAAAAGACAAATTTTTCAATTTCACAAGAAAGTCAGAAGCTTTGGTTATTAGTTAAATACAATTGCAAACAAAATAAAAGATTTAGATATATCAGTGCTTTTCTGAATTGGAAACGAATTGCTATTATTATCATAAAATTCACACTGAGATAGACGTTTGTTTTGACTTGGAGTGCTGGAAATAGAAAAATTTTGGGTACCGATGGTCTAGATGATAGTGGCGAAAAGTTGCATTTCAAATTCAAGTCAAGTGATGGCACTGAAACCAAATAAATTTGGCAAAGTGTGGGGAGAATGGAACAAATATGCCTGAATAAGCTTGGGGGTAGTCAGTTACCAAAGTCCCCGATGCTTACTTCTACTATACATGAGTATTCTCAAAACAAAGTAGATAAATTTTTTTTTATTATTTGATCAGTATGTATTTTGCTTTTTGTACTGTATTTAAGAGGATCCCAAAAGTTGAAATATTGGGTTGATGCAAAATAAATGCAGGTTTTCCTTTTCGCTTCACTTTTAATACCTATTGTGTAAACAAAATTAATCCATTAGGCTAAGGGATACACATCATTTTAAAGCCTATTTATCTCGCTTTTGTTCCTTCAAACAAAATGAAATCTTAGAGCGATTTTTAGCTAATTTATTTCTATGAATTCAAACTTGGGTGAAGTGCAATGCAAACCGCTCGAAACATTAAGGGCATTTGGGGACAAGAAAGCATAAATAAATCCACAGTGCAGTGTTGGTTTAAAAAATTCGAGAATGGAGATAAGAAAAGAAGGTAGTCGGTGTCCTGATCTTGACAACGACCAGTTAAAGTCTATAGATGAAGCTGACCCCACAAAAACTACTCGACAAATGGTGAAAGAACTTGGTGTTGACTAATTCGACTCTTGAGAAAATAAAAAAGCTCGCCAAGTGCATGATCTGAACTACTGCTAAAAGGATGCTTTCTGTACAGAACAAAAATAATCTACTTTTCTGTCATAGAGTAACGTGTAACGAAAAATGTATATTACACGACAATTGACAGCATTCTGGACAGTAGCTAGATAAGAGTGAAAAACCAGGGCACTTCTCAAAGCCAAGCTTACAAAAAAAATTATGGTCACTGGTGGTTATCTGCAAGACTCATTCATTACAGCTTCCTCAGTCCGGGTGAAACCATCACTGCTGAAAAGTACTGTAATGAAATTAACAGACAAAACTGCGACATTTATGGCCCGTATTAATCAATCAGCTATTCTCCTTCACAACAACGCACGCCTACATGTAACACAACGGACTTGAATAACTACATGAGTTGGGTTACGAAGCTTTACCATACTCACTGGATTTTCTCCTATAGATTATCTCTTTTTAAACATCTCAACAAATTTTTGTGTGAGAAATGGTTCAGAAGCCGGAATAACGTGTGTGGTGATTAGTGACTGTTAGTCGATGATTATTCGGAGATCGTAAAATGCGGTCTGGTGTGACATAGGTTTTAGAAACAACTCAGCACTAACACCATCCACTATTACTAATAATACTATATTAAACCGATCAAATACAGACAAACCAGCATATATTTCCATGTCATTCATTCACGGCCAATCACATAAATTAAAAACATTTCTCTCTTCTGATAACTTTAAAATAGCTTTCAAAAATTATAAAACAATTCACACGCTTTTTGCCAAAATTAAAGATCCCACACCAGTAACAAATAAATTTGACGTGATTTACAAGAATCAATTGTTTAAATTGTCTGGCAACTTACATCGGTATTACATCCCAATATCTGGATAAGAGAGTAAAGCAACATATCTATGATTGCAAAAAACCCAAGCAAAATCCTACAGCACTCGCTACCCACCATTTTTCACACAAACATAATTTTGACTTCAACAATCCAAAAATATTGCACACAGAACAAAACAAACATAAATGTAACTTTTTAGAAATGCTTTACATCAACAGAGATAAACAGAGCATCAATTACAGAAGACACATGTAAACTTAGTCGCAGCTACGCCAATATCATTAACCAAATTCAATATCGATAACATACTTATATCATCATCCCATCACACAAAACATAACATATAAAACAATCATCACATTCCAAACATCAAACATTTTTACATAGTCTACTTTTTCAACAATTTGGCTTCCCTTTCCCTAATTATCCCCGTCTATATAGGATAATCTGGCTGAACCATTACCAGTCTTTCCCGTCATCAGCTCCTTTCACCTCAAAGAAGCCGACTCCTCACATAAAAATGTCTTTCTTCCTTTTAGTCCTTCCCCACCCCTTCAAAATTCAACGTATATAAACAAAAAACAGCAATATCTCACTGGCACTCTCAACACGACATGCAAGAATGTCACAATTACGCAGAAAACAAACACTTTGAGTGAGTAGAAATACTTTGATTGAATATAAAAAATATTTTTTTGCATTGTATAAATTCATTTTTTTCCACATCCTACATGTATTTGTTAAATTTATACAATGTTTATACATCCCAGGCCCTGAAGATGATAAAGATCGAAACATTGGCACGATAAAGAAAATGTTTTTCTAAAACCTACGTACACCAGACCACATCTCACGATCTCCGAATAATCAGCCGTAATAACTTTGAAAATGCAGTTTGGGAATTCGCCGATTCCAGAGACCCTAGTTTCTACTCTCCTGGGATTGTTGCATTGGTTGTGCGTTGGCAAAAATGTTTAGATAGTACTGGAAGTTATTTCAATTAAATGTATTTTGTTGAAGTTAAATTGTAGCTTGTTTTTACAGACATCAGAAACCTGCATTATTTTTGCATCAACTCGGTAATACATAACCCATTCAGGAGAGTCAGCGCTATCCATTCCCCCATTGAGGTACAAGAGTGTAATGTCACGCTCTTCCCTCACCTCTATGTAGGTATTGAGAGTGTGACATCATGCTCATCCCTACTTCTTTACAGGTACTGAGAGCATGATATCGCATTCTTCCCCCACCACTGTGTTGGTACTGAGAGTGTGACATGATGCTTATTTCTACCTCTTCTCAGGTACTGAGAAAGTGATATCGCGCTCTGCACTCCTCATTTTTAGATTCAAATTCATAGAAGCAGTGTGCTGTTTAACTAATTATTTTTAGTGGTTGTGAGAGTGGAAACAGTTGTTTCCTCTTTTAATCAACACAATGCTTCTTGAACTTCAGACTAAAAGTGAAGAGATTGAATGCATATAAAACATGTAATGTCTGAGTAGTGGTGGGGTGAGCTTAATGCCATGCTCTCAGTACCTCACAGAGCGAAACAACAGTGTGATATCATGCTCATCATCCAGAATGGGTTCACTAAGTGTTGCATTATTAATTTTTTATTTAGGCAGGGTTTTTTTCTTTTAACCAGATCTATCAGTGTATTTATGCATTTTTATTTTTGTAGAATGGATATGGCAGGCTCTCGGAGCCATACCCCAGATCTTGAAAGAGGCTTAGGAGTGGCCCCTTCACCGACGATGCATCAGCGTATAAAAGCTATTGGAGTGCCAACGCCTTTGGCGATATCTAGTCCCCTTAGGAGGTAATCAAGTCGTACAACTAAGTAGCCCAAAAGTGATAAATTGTCTGAAAAATCAAAACGAAAAAAATTCTAGGTCCAATCCAGGTACGCCGACTCAGCCCAGAAGGCCCGATTTTATAGGAGTTTCGGGAAATGGTAATGGAGTTGGTGGGACATATTACGAGTTTAGAGGGGGTGGAGGTGAGGCGAGTCCACAGAGACGTTTTCTTTCAGAGGGAGAACTGCTACGAGGAGAGTCCCAGCATTATGCAAGGACTAACAATACCGTCGATAACATAAGAGAGTTAGCTGGCTCACCACAAAGGGGTGTTTACACTTGGAAGGACACGTCTCCGAACACCTACACAACACAGAGGATACCAAGTTATGACCATCATTATAGGTCTAATCCGACGAGCCCGACTCAACGCGGCTACTACCAAGGAGCACCGCCAAGAGGTGGCGTGGCCGTCTACCCGCCTCAACAATCGCCACAGGTCAAAAGAAAAAACATGACGACGCCTGTCACTCCCCAGGACACTAGGAGGCGGCCCATGTCATTCGTCAGGGCGCTGGAAATGTCTGATTCTATGGAAATGCAAGCAACCCAGGACCAGAGAAGGGGCACCACTCCGACTCCGGACCGAGCGAGCGTGTATGACATGAACTATGAAATATCTGTATAGCATGTTTTTAGATTGGTGTCACTTTCCAGAGCTTGAAACTCTCATGTCGAGTGCAATTACACCGTGTTCTTGTTATGTGTTGAGTGTATTGTCTTGAAAACTGCAAAACTGATTGAATCATAAACATTTTCGCGAACCTTATTAACTAAATGATTTTTTTAAACAAAAGTCTTTCTTTGTACTGACTTCTGCCACAGTACAACAAAACTTAGTGACAGACATCACTTTAACAATGAATTATTGTATAAATATTTTATGTACATAATTTTTTTTTTTTTTTTGTTATAACGACTCAATTTGTTATATGTTTAGAATATTAATTGTTTCAATTTTTATTTATTCGAAGGACTTATTCCAATTGCCGTGCAATAAATTACATGTCTTTAGGAAAAAATATTGATCATGAATTATTGTTGTGCAGGTATTTTCCCCATTAAAAAGCTATTAATTAAGATGTACTACTGGTAATTTTATATAACTTGCTCACTCGGTAAGTACCTATGTCTATCAAATTTGTGTGAATGTTTAGAATCCAGATCTCTTTTTTTTTAACCCAAAAAAAAAAAAAAAATGAGGGTTCATTGGTTAGCCGGAAGGGTTCTTTAATTGTTCCGGTCATCCTTTTTATTAGAAACATTTCTATACGATTCCCAGAACAAATTTTTAAAAAGAAGTAAATTATTTTTTATATATCATTTTTATTTAATTTAAACTGTCCTTTTTCCCTGTACTTAACAATACTAATTGATTTTATACATTGTGCCAATGTAATAGCAGGGAGGTGTCATTTTGGTGTACATCTTAATTGCACTGGGATTTGTATATCAACATCCCATTTTTGGTTTCGGTTTTTTATTATTAAATTTTTTATAGCATTCGCCTAGTCAAATAATTTTTATTATTATTGTTATTGATTAACAGTATAATGTTAATTTCACCCTCATTTGTGGAAATAAGAATTTATATGAAATATCCATATTGTATTACATTTTTTCTCTTTCTCTCAGGAAATTCTATTACATTGGTATTATTGCCACCGTCAATGAGAGTTGTTATTAATTATTATACTCAAAACTATATGTACAGGTACAAATTGTAAAGTCTAAAATTATATATTTAAAAAAAGAAGGAAGTTAAATTTTTATTATTATTATTTCCATCCATTTCTATAGAATTTTAATATTAAGGTAAGAGATTTATATAAAAAATGAAATATTTTCTCTAATCTACATAATCTGAACTTATGTTTCAGTTTTAACATTTGTGACGTACTTTTTGCTACGTTAAAAAATTTTATAACTTGGATTTTTGAATACAACTCGTGCCCGTAGCTATTACAATGTTTAGTGATACGGCTCAAAATCAATCATTTGAATTAAAATGGCTGTGAAATATTGCACAAGTAGGTAAAGATTGGCAGTCGTACGAACAATCACCAACAATCGCTTGTTGACTGCAAATAAACATGACACGGGGAGAACTTTGTAACCACATAAGAATGAAAATTTATAGATTAGTTTTGAATATTCATACATGAATATAATGAAGAATAATATTCTTTAAGAAGTATATGTATAAGGTAAAAATGATATCCAAGATAAGGATGAACTAAATTTGAATCAGTCATGGCCTAAGAATGTTCTTTTTTAATTTTTAAACTGAGAGAGAGAGAGCCAATGGTTGTACTTTGTTCATTCCATAAACTGCAGCATTTTTAATCTCATGCCTCGGTTATTGTAATTATTAATATTTTTTCTTTAATAAATGTGATTGAGTAGTTTGTAACTACTTTTTTTAATATAATTTATATTGTCAATTCGTGTTTTTAATGTTTATATTGTTTGATATATTGTTGATATTTTATATTGTTGCGAGTGTAAAAAGTCTAATCGTCCACCTTTATACTCAGCTGATTGTATTAACAAATCTTGCACAGATGTTTTCAGAAACATACATACAATATATTTATATTATTTAACAAAAATTATAATTTTAGATATTTTTGTATACTAGATAAGGATATTTGTTCAAGATACAATTATCAGTTTTATATAGTATTGTTTAGTACGATAACATTCAAAATACCTAATTGTTCATTGAGACACTTTCATCAGGAACCAAGTATGCGCCTAAAGGCAAGCAGAAGGAAAGAAACGATGACGATTTACAACAACGGGTTGAGAACTGATATGTTTTACGTTGCATTGTATTGTATTTATTGTGTGCATTGAAAGTTTTCTAATTAAAAAGAAAGAGAGAAAAAGTGTACATATTAGTAAAATAAATATGTTATTTTGTTTCATAGACATATTTTGAACAGATATTTATAATGTATGTTTTAATTAATGAAAATGAGAACCATTAAAATATATATATATATATACATAATTCAAAGTATTTATCTATATCTAAAGTGTGAATGTGTGTAAAGTTGTAATTAATGTACCTTTTTGAAATTGCAATTATATGATTATATACAAATACATTTTGGAATCCATATACATGTTATTTATACAATACAATAATGAATTGAACCATTTTATTTTGATGCATGCTTAAAATGTGCTAACCGCACTTACATTTAAACATATTTCCATAAACTGTCTTTAAAGTCTCTTTAAATTTTTTAAAGAGTTTCTTCTATTTTGTATTTAATTATTTGGGACCTATACAGTTCTTTAGTTTACATACTATATCATATATAAGAAAAATAAGCTGCTTTGTTCATTGGAGTCAGGCAATAAAACTGGCACAAAAGAAGTTTCTTTTTAGGTGAGTACAAAATCATTTGACATCAAGGAATATGGATTGTTAAAATTACAATTAATTACGGTTTTTAGTTGAGATGAAAAAAAAGCTAATGGCACGAGCGGAATTAATTGTAATGATTTAATTGGTCAAGCAGACCACGAAATTAGTGAATTTAAGGAATTGTTAAAATTGTTCAATGTAGCAGAACAGGGTTTCTATCTGTGCCGACAAGTGGTTGAAATTTGTAGTCAATTCAACTTGATCAAATAAAGACAATTGTCATGTTAGACAATGTAAGTCCTTAAGTTTCCTTAAGTACCAGCATCTAGTCTGCGATTCTTAGTTACTTCCTTTAAGTACTAGCATTCAGTCTATGCCACACCTAGTTCCTTTCTTTAAGCCTCAGCATCTAGTCTCACCTTGTTCCTTTAAGTCTATGGGACAATCTAATCTATGGGACACCTAGTTTCTTTAAAATCCAGTATCCAGCCTTTGTGACAGTTTCATTACTTAAGTCCCAGCATCCAGTCTATGCTACAGCTAGTTTCTTTCCTGAAGTACCAGCATCTAGTCTATGCGACATTTAGTTTCATTCCTTAAGTCCCAGTATCCAGTCTATGTGACATGTAGTTTCTTTCCTTAAGTCCCAGTATTTAGATTATGCAACACCTAGTTCCTTACTTTGCATCCCAACATATAATAATCTATGCGACACCTTCCCTTAAGTCCTTAAGTAAATTTCCATTAGTTGGAGTAAACAGCATTCTTTATATATTAAGCAGGGCGGGTGACCAGGACCCGAGGGGTTAAAAGCCTAGGTAGGCCCATACCCCATCCCTAAAAGGTCCGGGACCTGGTCGGCTCATGAGTCGTGCATAAATCTTTTGGCCCTATTCACAAACCCCAAGATTTTGGACCATTTTATCTTGGGGAGTGTTTTGGTTATGTCCTCTCCTTTGAAAGTTTCAAATCTTTCCCTAGCATACCTATCGCATTCTGCAAGGTAGTGTCGAGCCGTTTCTTCCTGTTTCACAGAAGCGGCAAAAGGGGTCTGGTAGAATACCCATTATGAAGAGGTGTCTTCTCAAGGGGCAATGGCCTGTTAGGATACCTATCAGCCTCCTAATTCCCCTCCTAGAGTTAGAGAATAACCATTTCGTTTCTTTTGGTTTGATTTCCTTCAGAAACTCCTTCGATTGCCTGTGTCCGGGGGACATATTCCATTCTTTAAGAAATTGTTTCATGCCCCAGCAACTAATACTCTCTTTCGCTGTGCTTATAGAGTGGGGTAATACTGGTTGTGGCCTGACAAATGCAGTATTTGATCCTTCTTTGGCCAGGCTGTCCACCTCTTCATTGCCATAGTGCCCCTTATGAGCAGGTATCCATATGAGGGTTACCCTATTCTCGTACCTGGTAGTAATCCTATTAATAAGTTCAACGGTTTCCTCTACCAGCCTAGATGTTGATAACTCTTTTTGTAATGACTTAAGACTGGCCTGACTGTCGGAAAAAATTTTAATATCTTTTCCCTTAATCTTGTTATCCATGAGGGTTCTGCAGCAAACACTGATGGCCCAGACCTCTGCCTGAAAGACCGAGGTGTTATTATCAAGAGGGGAGGAGATGCTGATCCCTAATTTAGGTATATGTATTCCAGCACCGCTTCCCTTGTCCTTAATGAGTTAGCCATCGGTGAAGCAGTCTAGGCTACGATGGTCATCATCCGCACTATAGTTATAATCACAGGGAGTAACTACCTGAAAGTGCTTTTTCCCTAAAGGTGTTTTCACCTTTTTATTGCTAATGCCCAGTAGTTGGTTGTTGACCTTACTCAATAAATGTAGAATTTTCGAGTGACCTATATTGTTTCCCTTATGGTTCCAGCTGCCTTCACTGATTAATCTATAGCAACTGGTTAGTGCTCTAACCTTGACCTCTATGTGTAGAGGTGTAGTATTGGTTATCATTTCTAGTGCTAGGGTAGGTGTAGTGGGAAATGCTCCCGTCATCATCATACAACCTAGTATTTGAAATGATCTTAGCTTGTTAATAGCCCCTTTGTTTTCTAGCCCTTTCCACCATACTAGGGCTGCAAATAGAAATCTTGCTAGTATAATTGCGGTATATATCCATTTGGGCACCCAACGTTTGATACCTCATGTTCTACCAACAATTCTCTTACATTGCACCATGGATATTGCCTTTCCTTTGTATATTTTTAATGTGGCCTTTCCAATCAAGTTTCCTATCAAGCGTTATCCCGAGGAATTTGATTGAATCATTTAGTTTTAATTTTAATTTTTAAATTTTGGGTTTTTAAAATTGCCTAGTGATCTTCTCCTGCTAAACATTATCAGTTCCAGTTTAGCTGGATTTTTCGAAAGACCTTTATCACCACACTACTCGGATAGCAACCCCACTGCCTCCTTTCAGCAGTGATAGAGTCAGAGGATCCTTACCCGTGATCATTATGGCACCATCGTCTGAAAATAATTGGCTATAAAAGCCTGAGTTATTCAGAAGCTCTAATAAGCTATTTACTGTGATTAACCACAGAAGAGGGGATAAGCAGCCTCCCTGTGGACAGCCTCCTGTGACCTTGATTCTCAGAGTACTACTACCTAAGCACATATTTACCATCCGACCCTCTAGGTAGGTTTTCACCCATCCTATGAGGTGTTGGTCTACATTATATTTATTTAGTGCTGCTATAATGCATGAAGTATCTGCATTATCAAACGCTCCTTGGATATTAAAGAAGCATCCTAATGTATAATCATTATTGAGAAATGATTTCTCTATCCTTCCTACAAGTGAATGCAATGCAGTTTCCACTGATTTTCCTGGTAAATAGGCGTGCTGATTGGGATATATCAAGGTATTGATACCACAGTCATGTCTAATATGTTTATCTAAAATTTTCTCTATTATTTTTATGAAAATAGATGATATACTTATAGGTCTGTATGATTTATGTAATTGATAAGAGACCATACCTGGTTTGGGTAAGAAAATTACCCTTGTTTCCTTCCAGCATTTTGGTATGTACCCCAACGCCAGATTGCTCCTTTGGAGTTCCCAGATAGCACCAGAAAGACCAGGCGTATCCTGTTGTAGGAGGGCAGGGAATATTCCATCCATCCCTGCTGCCTTGAACTTCTTGAAGGACCATACCGCCCATTTGTAGGCATCCCAAGAGATCACTTCATATGCCTTACTCCAGTTCGGCATAGGTATCTCTTCCTTGGTTTGGGTGTCGGAGGAGCCTGACCTGGGGAAATGGGCCCTTGCCATTAGGTTCAGTGTCTCCTCACTTGTTGTGGAGTACTCCCCTTTTTCATCCTGCAATAATCCTTTTCCAAAAGTTTAAAAAACAGCATTCTTTAGGCATATACTATTCTTACTTAATTCTTTCTATTTATTATTATTCTATTCTATTATTACTTAGCTTTTATATTCTTGCTGTTGAATAAACATCTTTATTTTATAAATTGTATTAAATTTAATTTTCCTTTTGATCGTTTTGTCATAAAATTGAATTTGGAGTAGATTAATTTGTTCAATATTTGTTTTAAGCATATCTCCATAAGTGTGATTTAAAAAATATATAATTTTGAGCTTTCTTCGTTTATTGCTTGATTTGCTGTTTTTTGAATTTAGTCCCAGCATCGATCGTGTTAAATCGATAACGTGCCCCTTGCTGCTTATCGCCTATCGCTTATGCTTGCCAGTTGCCAGTTGCCAATTCGTCCTAATTACTCATCGACTCGGTTCCACTTTTGGAATTTTCGTAATCAGTTCTTGTTTTTGTTTTTTTGGCCTTTACTTTCTTTCAGCAGGAAATCCTGACCCACGGGAATTCACGTAAACCACACCGACGAATCTCACAATGCTGTCACTTTTGCACTATCATTGATTTTCCAAGCTTTTCCCTTTGATTGTTTTCTGTTTTTTAAATATTTTTCCTTCCTGCAAATCTGACACAATGGTCGATGTAGAAAAAGAGGAAGCCACTTCGCTCGTGAGTAATTTTTAAACAGTCTCATTTCTCCGTCCAAAAAGTAAGTTTAAATCCTACCTTTTTTTTTTAATTTTCTTGCAGCAAAGTGAATTCGAATGGGTTTTGCACAAAGAAGTCCATTTGGTGCTTAACCAACTGAAGACAATTCTAGTGGTGAGTCTGGTTAATTAACAAATAAACTTTTTCAGCTTTTCAACAGAGATTTAAGTAAACATATTTTAACTATTGGGCGAACCCTAAATTGACTAGATGATTAGAAGTATAACCCATTAGATGTACGTATAACACTTTTTCCTTTTTTTGCATTATGAACTTTGCATATTAGCCAAGAACGTTATATATCGTACGCAACACATTTTTTTTTTGGGGGGGGACAGATTGCACGAAAAAAAGGGCCAGGGGCAACAGTGGGAATCGAACCCACGACGCAGAGTCTAGAGCCGAGAATATCATAGTAACCACTTAGCTACCACGCACCCCCAACATTCTTCAATTGATAAAAGATAAAAACACTCATTTCATTCAAAATATAGGTAGATCAAGCATCTCAAAATTTAATTGTGAACCATTTAGAAAATGTGTGTTACACAATTGCTCTCTCTCTCTCTCTCNTCTCTCTCTCTCTCTCTCTCTCTCTCTCTCTCTCTCTCTCTCTCTCTCTCTCTCTCTCTCTCTCTCTCTCTCTCTCTCTCTCTCACAGCTTATATTGTTTCTTGGTCTGTGAATGTTTTGTGAAAGGAGCAGCCCCTTTTCAGTTAAAATCCTGGCATTCTCCTTACAATTTTATTTCTAACCTTAGTGACGAACGTAGATGATGTGGTCTAATGCAAAAAGTAAAATTATTACCGATTAACATAAGATCAATTCTGCACACATACATATTACACTGTGTACAGAGCTTCGTGTCAGGCAGGCCATATAATAAGGGGTGGAGAAATATGGACAAAAAGAAATTGGAAGAGAGTAGCTACCGAGCAAGTGGAAAAGGAGTAGAGGAATTACGTGGAGGAGGGACCTGGCTAAAGCTGAGTTACCATTGCACATAAATCACTTGAAACTTGTCTCGTGTTGTGGATACTTAGCCGGGTCTCTGAAACTTTTGGCACAAGCACATTTCAGGATGAGCCGACTGGTTGTACTTTTAGTGAGCATTAAATAAAGTGCCTTACATTGTCTGTTTCTCTCTGAGTAAAGAGATTAAAATAGTAGTTTGTAATCCAACTGTATTGCTTTTGTGGGATGTTAAGATAAAAGTCATCATTATAAGAACAAGATAGAGGATGTGCGGGAGGATTTTTTTTTTTTAATTCTTAACATAAAGTATCGGCATGATAGCAAAGTTTATGCTGCCGTAGGTGTAGAACTGTAAATATGAACAGTGTGCTGGTCTCGCACAAACTGTTGGCTCACCTTGTTTTGCTTCTATGTTGCAAAATGTTTCGCCTCTTAGAAATGGTTAACCTGAGAACGGCCGTTTCGTGAGTGATTTTTGCACAATAGAAAGCCAGCTTTAGAATTGTTAGGAAAAGGAAAGTATGGAAGCCGTTTTGTGCACATGCATGCAGATGTGCACACTTAGAGTTGAGCCTATCACTTATTGTAGTCTAGCTTGTGTACTTTACAATGAATTACCACCAGCAGCCTTGAAAATCAGCTACCGGAGTTGGGCTGAGGGTGCTACCAATTAGACCTCCTGATCACTCACACTCTCAGTCACTCTTAAATACATTCTTTCCTATTTGTATGCCATCCTCTCAGGTGTTGGAGTACTTGGTATTCCTCCATCAACCTTCACGGCCCTCTCACACTACACATTCACTCTACTAAATACATTCAGTCTCAATATATATAAAGAAACAACACGAGATACCTATAAAATGTTATTACAGTAAAACAACACTGATTCCTCCAAAAATCGGAACAGGGGACCCAGATATTTGTAGATGTGCTCTGTATAACATCTACAAATATTATATAACTAAACTAATTGACTACACATTCACACTAACAAATACATTCACTCTCAACTAGGAATATAAATCTATCAGTACTATATACAAAAGTCTTGTTTCGTTGAAAAATCAGGTCAGGGACCTAGGATGCTCCTTACCATGCTCAAGCACAATTCTCATATCTGTGGGCATGTAGCTGACCTCTACTTATATTATATAACTGCCAAATTGAGGGTCAATGGAGCACTAAAATTCCGCCAGTTGTGTCAGATGTGCAAGGCCTATTCTTAGTTGGGTGAGGATGCCCCACCTCTCAAAAGGCAGATTCTCCAAGGACACAACTGAAATTCCCCGTTCCAATTTTTGGAAGAATTTTTGTTTTTTGTGGCCTAACATCTTGTTAAATTGATCAACACTTGATCACTCTAATGAATCTGTCTACTCTCTCATAGACTTAAATGTCACTCAAATTTGTTTTTACTAACACCATCTCCAGAGATTAATTAATGATTTATATGTTTTACAATTGTGAGGTTGTTTCAAAAATCTGTGGGGTAAAAAACCTGTAATTTGGTCATTATGGTCTGCCTATTCTCACTGGGTTGATCAATCAGACACGTAGACATTTTGTTATCTTCACTGTGTCTATTACTGTTATCGCAATTCATTTGTACTGTTTCAATCTAAATATTTTTACTAATAAAAATTTAGATGTAGAAATCTTTTCGTTATTATTAATGGTAAATTTTTATGAGATTTGCTCTTTAATCTAACGATTTTAATTGGCCTCACATCGAACAAAATATTTATTTTTACTAATTATAAATTCATTTTATTGAAAATAAAACATCAAAGAAAATAAATACACTTGAGTAATGTTGTTTACAGATATATGATACAGATATCTGACTTTCCAGATGACACTAAATTATGACTTTATCTTTAGTGATGTGATTTATAAATTTAGCAAACTTTAATATTTACATAAATCGATAATGTTACTGAATTGAATTTTTGATAAATTTATGTGCATGACCTTAGCTATTTTCCTATGAATTTCTCTTACTTGGTTAATATACTCTCTCTTTCTCTCTCAATACATTCTTTTCTATTTAGATGCCATCCACTCACAGTGTTGGAGTACTTGGTATTCCTCCATCAACCTCCACACACGTATATCTAATCTAATTGAGGATAGGGGTACTCAATATTCCACCATCTGCCCTCTCCTACTGCATTCATGCTAATAAATACATTTAGTCTCAAAATATAGAAAGACACAACACAAGATGGCTATAAAGTGTTATCTACGATAAACAACCCTTTCTATTCAAAAATCCGAACAGTGCAGACATGCTCTCCCCCTCTCCTCTCTCTCTCTCTCTCTCTCTCTCTCTCTCTCTCTCTCTCTCTCCCTCTCTCTTTCTCTCTCTCACTCTCTCTTTCTATCTTTCTTTCTCATCCTTCTTTTTGGATGAAAGAGAGGTCGTCCATGACCTAAATTCGCGAAAATAAAACAATATTCCTAATTAATTCATTTTCTCTTATTTACTTTATGAGTTTTATAATATTCATATTGTTTACAATATCTCATATTTACATTAATTAGATACACGGATATATTGAACTATTAATTAATTTAACTTAATTTTGTAAAATGATTTTTCAGTGAATTTGAAAAATTTCTTTTAATATAAACACTGACAGGCAAAAAATTCCACCCACTTGTAATATAACTTAATTTGTATATATATTTAAATATTAATTAAAGTTTCACCTTTTTTGACGTTTAATAATTGACACTTTGTCTTAAAAAATTTAAAAATATAAATTGCTAAGGAAAATTGAAAAAAAAAAGACAGAGATAAAATTTGTTTTAGATTTTTAATTAACATTTCAATATTGTGTATTTCCTCCTCTTGCCTTAATTACATCTTGAAAATGCTGTGGCATACTTTCTAACAATCTGTAAATGACTCTTTGCTGGTTGTTAGCCCATGCTTCACGAAGAGTCCTTTCAAATCGTGGAATTTATCAGGAAGTGATGGACGTGCTCTTATTCGTCTTTTGAGGTTATCCCATAAATGTTTGATAGGGTTCAAATCTGGAAAACGGGCTGGCCAGGCTAAGATCCTGATGTTATACTGTTGAAGGTTCGTTTGTACTACGCAAGCGGCTTGAGGTCAGGCACTATCTGCAGTAGAAAAGGATTGTTGCTAATTTCATCGAGGATAGGCAATATGTTTCAATATTTCATCCTCAAAATGAGTGGCAAGACCCTCCACGAACAACAAAATCTGTGTGACTCTCCATTGAAATTTCCGCCCGCCCCATCACTGAGCTACATTGAAAAGGTTGGCTCTGGGAAAAATTACAGGCTTCATACCTTCCATTTCTCCTTCTTCACTCTTTCACACCTATCTGGAGATCATAGAGTAAATCTACACTCTTCTGTAAAAAGTACAGTAGACCATTGTCCAAAGACTGGTTGTGTTCTTGAACAAATGCGAGCCATGCAACTCTATGTGTTCTGGTCCTCTTACGGGGCAAAAAGCCATCAGCCCATACTGGTTTAATCATTTAATCTTCTTCGAGCAGTGCGTTCAGTTCAGAAATTTGGACACCTCGAACTTCTTCCTGGAGCTGATGAATCACTTGAATGGTGCCGGTTTTGCACAAAAAATTCTCAAAGTCAAAAAATGGTCATCCTGTGGTTCTGTTACCCTAGGGCGTCCAGAATCGGGCCTTCTATGGCAGGACCCAATTTCTTGAAAATATCTAACGTCAACTATAGAGAGTTTTGTAGGGAACTCAGATGGTAATAGCATCCATCATCAATAAGTGTCACACCACATGCAACATCCTCAGCACTAAGTGGCATCTTTAAGTTTAAAAATTGAAATTAAGAAAACAAAGATGAAAACTAAACAGTTTGTTGCTTCAGAATTCAAATGAGACTGAATAAACATTTTAAATTCTGTCAAAATTAAATATTGAAAAATCCTTTATCTTTGTTTTGGATTACATAGCATAACCAAATATTTATTGATAAAACCAATAGGACAAATTAAGGGCAGAATGTTCTTTTATCGAGAAAATGAAAAAAAAGTCAGTTGGGTGGAATTTTTTTGCCTTTCAGTGTATTTCATAGGCTGGACCATTTCTCTTACCCTTTACTGGCTTATTTAGTTTATATTTCACCCTATACATCAACTACAACATAAATTTCTTCTATGCTTTAATATTTAGAAGCTATTCTCTTTCACACTTAAATAATATTTTCCTCCACTCCATGATTTTTCAGGAAAGGATAGTTTTACTCACAAAATTCTTCTATTTACTGGTTTATTTTGTTTTCTAAGACTTATGTTAAATCTTTTCTTTTGCGCCTTTCCCCGATTATGAAACATGTACATACAGAGGAAGTGAGACAACTAAAAAGAAAGAAGGACTATTTGACTTCATAAGTCAACATCGATTTCTTGAACTTATGACTTCTTTTACTTTAATATATAAAATTTATTGAATATTAAGTTTTATTTATTTTTATACAATAATTATTTTTGAAGGCTTACCCAGTTATTTTAATTTTTCATTGAACTCTGCTATTATTTATTTATTTTTTAAATTATGGCTTTCATTCTTGTACTAAGCTGCCTCATATTTCACTGAAAAATTTCTAACCCTGTATTTTTCCCCGTTTTACACTCAATAATAGTGTACTAGATATTAAAAAAAAAAAAAATCGAAAACATGTTAGCAGAAACTTTCTACTGATATGTCTAAGAAAATATTTTTTTTTTCAATATTTCTGTTCTTGAAAAGGATAATTAAAGTATTTTTAAAAGTCAAATTTAAAGGAACTCAAACAAATTCAACTTGTTTATTTGGCATATTAAGTGGGCAAGAAAAGGTACAACAATGCCATGTACGTTCATTATTGCTTAAAAACCTAATCCTGTAACATACGAAATGAAAATTTTATGATAATTATCAGTCCTCTTTAAAAAAAAAAAAAAATCCTCTGGTAAAATTGTAATGTTCTTCAAAAGTAGCTATTTTTGTTCTTATTACCATTGTTAGTACAAGTTTATTAATACAACCTTCGCATCATCTGCACCTTTCTCTAAATAGGACATAATCCCTGCAATAATTTATTCGTAATTGTCTTAAATGTTAATTACCTCATCAAATATTGGTTTAGTCAGCCGAGATAACATTTTATTTTACCGTAGCTGCAACCTAACTCAGTAAATATTTATGTAACACAAATGTATTTAGTGCCTGACAAAAAAAACCAAAAAAAAACCTGAATATTCAAAATTCAGTTGTAAGGTGTACCACCTGAGGTTGTTGATTGATTGATCCAATTAAAGAAGAGAGATAAAATCATTTAAGCTAAAAATAAATATAATTAAGTATATCCTTACTGTAAAAGAAAAGAAATGGAAAATATAAAATTGTCTTATACCTAATAGTCAGTTCATTTTTAGGAGTGCGTAAGGCGATTTCCAATCACAGTAAATGCTGAGAATCCACACAAGCCGGAAAAATTTGTTTTAGCAAGCGGGATAGACCAATTGAAAGGTGTGATTTCATTATCAGGAGACTGTATTTCCCATGCAGTAAGTAAGTCTGATCGATTGATGACGCCGAGAAAACTTAAAACATTTCCTTGCAGGAGATAGCGTTCAAAGTCCAACGTCAACAATTGGTCCAATACAGGACCACGATTCAGAGCGATAATCCTTGGCGACTCCATCAGGTGCAGGATTCCGTGAACCATTTGCACCAGGCCATCGCCATAATTGACAACATAGACAAAGACTATACGTTCCAGTCGTCGGAAGAAGTACTCCATATCCTGGGCAATATACTTGGCTGCTTACAACGTGGAAGGACGTCGCTCATTCTACCCCGTAAGAGGACTGTCGACGATCTAATGAAGAGTAGAAACATGGTATGTCAAGATTACCAAAAAGCTTTGTAGTCAATTTTATTGTATTTTTATTAATTTTTTTCCCTTCACCTTAAGAAATGCTTAGTGCCGAATTTGCCTGAGGACCTGGCCTTGAGCTTTTACATCCAGAGCCATAAGCTTGTCTTTGCAGTTTATCAAGTCAGCACTGTTCATGGTGTGATGAAGTTCGACTCTCATCAGGCCGAGGCTTCAGTCCCTTGGCTTAACGAAGTGCTTGTCTTGTTCACCGTAGCGCTGCAATTATGCCAACAACTTAAAGATAAGGTAAGTTTTTTTAAATAACAATTAAACTTTAGTTTATCGTAAGTAAAACTATAATTCTCATTTGTGTTATCATCAAATTTTCAAATCTCTTTCAAAGTGCGTTTAAGTGAATTAATCTTTAAGTGGATTATCTCAACTCTCACTTTCTTGTTAAATAAAATAATTAAAAGTATGACATATTGTTTTCTCTTTTGATTGCCAACTCAAAAATGTTTACTCTCTGAATTACAGATATGCGTATTTGCTCAGTATAAGGATTTCACAGTCAGTACAACACCACTCCAGGCTTATTAAGGGCACTTCAGCGTTCCAACAAAACAAAAATTTGAAAGTCACAAATTGGTAACTCCTAGTCTTTTCTTTTGTCCTTATAATTCACATGTTTTTATAAAGGAAATCTCAGTGTAATTAAAAAAATCCCAAGTTATTGTAAAAATGTTCCTTAGAAAGAGTTGGATAAAATATTTACCAATTGTCCGAATTAACTATTTAGAACCTTTGAGAAATTGTACATTGTACCTCTACACTGTGTGATTTTGTAAAAAAAAATTAGTTACCGTAGATGTAGACAATTATCAATCAAGATACTATGTATTATGCAAACTGTAATTTAGCAGCTAATCTTATTTAATATGAGGTAATAATCTCATTAATGTATTCCGTGCGTTTGCACACCTCCTAAGGCCATTTATTTTATATAAATGTTTTAGTCAAATTATATACTCTGTAATTTATTTTAATAGCCACCCTTGTACAAAGTTGGCTCAAATTAAATTTTTTAACAAGGTTCCCTTACATATTGTTTTATTTTTTATTTATATTAATCAATTTAAAAGAAAAATGTTATTGTAAGTTAAGACAATAATATTTGGGAGAGGCTGTGTATATAAAAAATTATTGTACATTACACTGCAAGCAATAAATTTGTTATATAGTTATAATTAATAGTTGTTATTGAACATACACTTTGCATGATGGCAAAAATTTATTGGATTTCTTCATGGAAAATTCACTTTTAACAGCTATATGGAGAAACAGGTCTTACATGTGTACAGCTTTTTATGCTCAAATTTGCACATGCGTGTACATCACTTCTTGTAGTCCAGCATTTGTACTGTACAACAAATTACCAGCAGGCCTTGAAAATCACCCACTTCGGGTGTCGGCAGTCCGGGGTCAGATATTGGTATTATCCTTATATTCACTGAGGTTAGCCTCTGGGTGCTGTCAACAGCGAGGTTATTTCAGTAACCAATGCAATTAATTCCTAAATCCAAACCCATTCACACTTAAATGCATTTTTTTATTTATGTACCATTCACTCAGTTAGGGTGGTTGAGTACTTGATATTTCTCCATCAACCCTCTCACGCTATACATTCATGCTAATAAATACATTCACACACAACACATGCCAAGGACACAAAACTATCAGTACTATATCAACTCTATTTCCTCCAAGAGTTAAAACTTTGGACCCAGATACTCGCTGCTGTGCTCAAGTACAATTATCACATCAGTAACATTCTATATGGAACAAAAATAAGAAGTATTGGGACACATAGAGCAACCTTTCTCCACATGTCAGATGCATATGTGGTCTTTGGTGCAAAAATAGGTGTCGAGTGTCAATCTTGCATGGCCTATTCTTAACCGGGTGAGAATGACCCTTCTTCTATGAGTCAGGTCCTCTGTGGGCCACCTGTCAATAGTGCTCTTTATCGTGAGAGCTTTCTTGCCATCCGGCCCAACAATGTTGCCACTTTTTTTCAGTTTTTTACTGCATTTTTAGCGTCCGGGCTGGATCGCAGTTGGGAGGCCCCAGATTTAGCTGCCTCCCTGTATTTTTCTGTTTATCTTTCTTTCTAGTAAAAAAATATTAAACACTTATATTGCTTCCAAACTTCTCGACACAAAGCTTTAGTTATTTAAGAGAAAAATATAGACTTATTGAATATTTTCTGTTGTTCTGATTTATAAAAGCCAGGCATTTTCACCAACAAAATTAAATTTCTTGTGTGATTTTTTTATTTTATAAATTGCTTGTGTCCAGCCATGTCAATAGTTCGGTGATAAGGCAATAAATATTTCCTCTGCTATAGTAGATAACTAGATAACAGGAGGCTTATATCTTAATCAATATAGACTGATCAAATACCGGAAAATTTATTGTCAATTTGAGAGGAAAGATTTTCTTAGTATCTTAGCAGGATCATCTTGTCTAGTTGCCTCAGGCAGAAATAATTTTTTCACCTTTTTTAGAAATTAGTCAGACAGATTGAGACAGAAGTCACAACATAACAGATACAGGAGGGCCCATTGGCCATTGTGGATGAGGGGTCAAACCACTGTACAGTACTTTTCATATTATCAATTAACACATTGGATTGCGCCAGAAACTCTGTCGACCAGGGCGACATATTATTTTTTACATATGGCCTTAACATTAATTAAAACTGTATAAATAATTTTTTAAATTAAATCTTTCTTCTAAATTAGCATTTCCAGGTGGGCCTAATATGAGACTTGCTACCTCAGGCAATGTCAAAGTTATGCAACTCACACAGCGCCTAGTTTCTAATTTATGTAAAACCCTTTTTGTTTTTTTAATAGTTACTATTGTTTTGACTTTTATAATTTTCTTTTTTAATGAAGCAACTTTTAAAATTAGCTGTTTTGTCATTATTTGATGGAGTAAGGTTGACATTTCTTAAAAAATACATACACTGACAGGCAAAAAAATTCCACCCAATTGATTTTTTATTTTTATTTTCCCGATAAAAGAAAATTCTGCCATTAATTAGTCTCATTATTTTTACCAATAAATATTTGTTTATGCTATGTTTTGAATTGAGAATTCAATTAGAGGTAAACACACTTAATCCTTAATCCAAAACAAGGATAAAGGATTTTTCAATGTTTAATTTAAAAAAAAATGTTTATAATTGTAAAGCAGTAAACCGCTTAGTTTTCCTCTTTGTTTTCTGTTTATTAATTCCAATTTTTAAACTTAAAAAATAGAAAATTCTGCACTTAATTTGTCTCGTTTTTATCAATAAATATTTGGATATGCTATGTTAATCCAAAACAAGGATAAAGGATTTTTCAATATTTAATTTTGACAGAATTTAAAATGTTTATTCAGTCTCATTTGAATTCTGAAGCAACAAACTGTTGTTTAGTTTTCATCTTTGTTTTCTTAATTTCAATTTTTAAAATTAAAGATGCCACTTAGTGCTGAGGATGTTGCGTGTGGTGTGACACTTATTGATGATAGATGCTATTGCCATCTGAGTTCCCTATGAAACTCTGCGAGACGCCATTAGACGTTTTTGAGAAACTGGGTCCTACCATTGAAGGCCCAGTTCTGGGCGCCCTAGGATGACCGTTTTTTGACTTTGAGAATTTTTTGCGAAACCAGCACCGTTCAAGTGATTCATCAGCTCCAGGAAGTTCGAGGTGTCCAAATTTCTGAATGCACGGTCGAAGAAGATTATTGATTAAACCAGTAGTGGGCTGATGGCTTTTTGCCCTGTAAGAGGACCAGAACACACAATGTTGCACGGCTTGCATTTGTTCGAGAACATAGCCATTGGTCTTTGGATGACGGTCTGCTGTACTTTTTACAGGTGGGTGTAGATTTGCCCTACAGTACAAACGTACCTTCAACAACATAACATCAGGGTCTTAGCCTAGCCAGCCTGTTCTCCAGACTTGAACCCTATCGAACATTTATCGGATAACCTCAAAAGACGAATAAGAGCACGTCCATCACTTCCTGATACATTCCATGATCTTGAAGAATGGGGCAGAGAGACATTTCCTGACTGGTAGAAAGTATGCCGAGGCATCTTTGAGATGTAATTAAAGCTAGAGTAGGAAAAAAAGCGATATTGAATGTTAATAAAAATCTAATAAACAAATTTTATCTGTCAGTCTTTTTTTAAAAACTTTTTTAGGCAAAGATTCTATTAAATGTTAAAAAATGAGAAACTTTGATTAATATATAAAAATATATACAAATCAAGTTATATTACAAGTGGGTGGAATATTTTGCCTGTCAGTGTATATATATAACATTTAAACATTTCATATAAAAAAATTATATATAATAAACTATAATAAAATTAATAATAAAACTATTTGATGGGATCGCGGTAGTCGGGTGGTTAGCATGAGAGCTAGACTCTTGGCTCGTAGGTACAGTGGTCATGAGTTTTATTTCCACTGTCGCCCCTGACCCTTTTTCATGATACCCTTCCCCCATTAATACAATGCAGCGTCAAACACACACAATTCCTTGGTCAATGTGCTATGTTCTTAGACTTTTTTGTTTGTTTGCCTTATGATCTATGCTATGCATATTAACCATGGTGACGAATTCTTGTATGTGTGTTCATATTTGGGGGGGGGGGGGTATCATAAAAAAAGGGTCAGAGGCGACGGTGGAAATAAAACTCATGATCATGTCTATGAGCCGAGAGTCTCACACACTAACCACTCGGCTACCGCGGTCCCCAAAAAGACATTTAAAAAAGTTATTATTTAACCAAATTGTTAACAAAAATTAATCTAATTAGAATAGAGTTCTTAAAGCACTGGAAGCACAGAATAATTTTCCTGCTCCAGTGCTACAACTTGGCAAGAATATGCAACATTTCACTTTCCTATCTTTCCCATTTTTGTAATTTATGCAAAGGAAATCCTTTTTATCCCTTTTGTTTTGGTGTTGAAAAAAATGATGTAGGGGAATAGGAAAAAGAGCCAGCAAGAAGACGAAGGACTATGAATGGGACGGTTAGGTCCGTAAACAGCAAGCAGTGCTATCATGTGCAGTCGCAAGAAGTTTAGCTTATTCTTGTCCAATTGGTAATAACTAACTACTGAATAAGAAGCTATCCATGAGAAGTGTCGGAAGACATGAAAGGTCAATTTTTTGTACCATTTTTACCTTCATTTCACAGTAGTAGAGGAGTAATACTCAATTTTGAAAAATTAGCAACCTAATTTTAAAAAATTAAAACCCTTGAAAAATAGAAATACATTTTTATATTTACCATTATTTATTGATAAAACAAACAAAATTATTTAAAAATTAATTACAAATGAAATGAGATTTTTTCTGTACAAACACCATGAAAATCTCAAAATATTTAGCATTTATCAGTCTATCCATATTTTTTTTTTTAATTTTATTTAATGTAAAAATAATCCAATCTTACCTTTAAAAATCAAAAAAGTTGGTTAAAAATGTTCAGTCAATTTTCTGAGGCGTCAATGTTGCTATACCAGTGCAGTACTTATCGTTTGAAAGCAGGTTTCACATTGAAACTAAAAAATGCTTCACAGTAAGGTTTTATAAAAGTGGAGACAAATAATAACCAATAGAAAACGGTGCGTTTCATCTCATATGAGAACAGCTGCTGCCCTGAAAAGCCACGGGCTATGCCAAGGTTCAAAACCAGAACCACTAACTTGACTAATAAGAGTTGAACGCACTAACCACTTGGCGACCACAGTCCCTAACCCACCTATTTTTCTTTCGAGGTTTAACTATCATTAACTTATTCTAATAATCATTTGAATTTCAATTTTGAGTGATTATTAAACTAGAATTTAGAGAAATTAAAAATTTTATTCATCTCTATTTACAAACATATATATATTTTTTTTTTAAATAAGTATAAACATTGTAAGAATATTATACAGTTTTTCTTTTCTTTAGATAGAAAAAAAAAATCATTTTTCGTGTATGAAGGAACATTTATCATCATCTAAAGGACAGGACTGAGGGTGGTTCTTAAAAAACCAACACTGCTTCTGCTTCCAGGTGGTTGGACGAGGGTTTTTCTCTACGGGCTTCCGGAACTTCACTTCACCCTTAACGATCAAAAATAAAAAGTGCTGATTCCTCAACAAAGTCTGAAGTCCACCACATTCGTTTTTGAGCTTGGCCAACCACTCTGGAGGAATACTTTTTATAATTTCTCGAATGGAGATAAAATTCCCTTCATTCCAGGACGAATCGGCGCGTGGGGATTCTAGGATCATTTGTGCCACTTTTAAAACGATGTCGTTGACTAGATTTTTATCGAGCTGCGTGCAGTTTCTGACCTTTTCTTTGGCCTCACGCGATTTCACGTCGGTTACCCAGGTGCCACTATTTTCATCGAACTTTTGACATTTCTCCTTCAAAAGCTCATCAACTGTTTTAACGTTTTCTTCATGTTCTTCTTCTTTGTAATTCCTCCCCTGGCTCACAAAGCAGATCCTTTTTGTCGACGGTATCTTCATTCTATCTCTGGCTACTACAAAACCGCACTTTTCACACACTTTCTCAATATAGTCTAGATAACTCCTGTACTGGCTTTGCTCGACGTCGAACCGTTGATACTTCTTGCCATTGAAATCATATGTACAGCATGGCAGTAAGAAGAAATTTGTCCTGAACGAACTCTTAGCAGCCATTGGTGGTATGAGGGGTGTCAATTCATCCGAGTGGTTTCCAATCAACCAGTCAACACCTGGATAAACATCTGTAGGGGAAATCGTTGATTCCTTGAAAAATTCAATTCTTTACTAGTTTTTTTTTTTTTTTTTTTTTTTTTTTTTAATATAAAATTAAAACGTACTTCAAGCACAGTAGTTGGTGGGTATAATGCCCAAATTTTCCTTGAACGGACATCCAACCCTTTTCCTTTGTGATTCTCACTGTTGAGTATATGAACGAGAAGGCCTGTTCCACACCCAAGATCGATGAAAGTTTGACGCTTCTCTCCCCAGATAAGTATAAGGTATGTTGCAATAGATATAGCCTGATGAATTGCCTTTTTAGGATCTGTTGATTCTGTCCACATCTAAAATATTTGCTAAATATCTTATTAATGTTACAATAATAAGTCATGAAAAATACCTTCATAACAGGTTCTGCATATTTCTTCTTTAGCCTGTTGTATAGCTCTATGTAAGGCTCAGGCTGTACGAGTTTATGAGTGGTGATCTGCTGATGGTTGCTTATATCCTGCGATTTCCAAAGTCTGACCTTGGTGCACATTATTTTACAAAGCCTTTTCATTTCTTCGCAGTCAGCGTAAAAATCCGGCACATAGAACTCTATGGTGTTTCTGTTAAGTCCCACCTCATAGCAGTGCAGTTCCTTATACGACTGATATTTCTTCAACGCTTTTGTGAAGATTACTTGATTCTTCAGGAAATCTAGTGTGGTTTTTAAATAAATAATACATCTCAATACCAGTACTTTCAATACAGATATATGAGACAAATTGGTTATTTTTGTCCTTTTGAACTTGAATTCCCATTGTTTAAATAATAAATTGTACTGAATTCATGATACATTTTTTAACATCAGAAATTTATAACAAGCCTGATAAAGCAACCTCTTTTTAGAGAGAATTAAAATGATTATTTTATAAGGCTGGACTTACTGCAATTTATTGTTTCGACGAGATCAGGACAATAGAGGCCATTTTTAAGATATGCGATTCTGACCATGAGATATCTCTGGGTGGAGATGTTCGTAGCCAAGTTGGCGACGGAGGCCTCGCGAGTAATGAGCTGAGCCTCGATGCACTTGATGCGATCCCTGAGATCGTTGTAGCTCGTGATGTTTTCCTTTTCGGCTTGCAACTTCCTGATGAAATCCGAGCAGAAGTAAGGCTCGAAGTTGAGGAATATAAACTCAACACCGCCGCAGTTGCGCAAGTAGAAGAATGGCTTGGAGATCCATATATCCATGTACTTCCAAAACCTTCAATTTAGTTCAAACAGTTTTAAATTAATAAATATTACATACAAATATTGTTTTGTTTATAAAACCTTGTATGCTTCCAAATTTATATTAGTTAGTATTAAGGCCTGTTTTTAATTGAATTCAAGAAAGATTGCAACAAAACATGAAAAATTAGGATCAAGCAGTCAAAGTTCGAAGCTACCCACATGCTACTGTTAAATAGATATGAAAAACTCATGGCAGACAGTGATTTTGATTATTTCTTTACAATTCTATGTACTATTTCTTCAGAACATTTGCATCGAGTCTTTAAAGTAAATTTAATCAATGTTTTTGATGGCATTACCAGGTAAGTGGCTACATTTTCAGACAGACAGGGTTCTAGGGATGCCTGTTGATTTCCATGACCTCTAAATTCAGACTGAATAAAAAAATTTCAAATAAAACCTGATAGAGCAGACTGGGAGAAAAAGGTTCCCATTTAATGCCGACCATATCAACATTTAAAACCGAGAATGGGCCAAGAGCTGGTATTTATGGAAATAAACCAAAGACTAAAATTCATCTGAGGCTGTTGAACACTGTGCTGAGGACATTTAAGAAATCTAGGAAAAGGTATCATTATAGAAGAATAGTCATCTACTCAGACGGCCAGGCCATGAGGGTACTTACCGCATCTGTAATAAAGTCCAGAATCATTTGGGGTTGCATTAGAGCCCTGTCAGACATTGAGGAAAACAACAAAATTACCCTTGCCTCGGTACGAGGGCACACTTGGCAGAGGGGCAATGAAGAGGTCGATAAATTGGCCAAGGACAGTTTGATGAGAGTGTCTATTGGCCCTGAATCACTTTTGGCTTACCAAACTGCCAAAAATAGATCCACCAGGCAATGGATTAAGAATAGTCCTTAGGGAAAGAGGCCTGCGAAAAGTTCACCAAAGGGACATCGCAGGACTACTAAATCTAGGACATGTTAGTTCTAGAATAGTAGCAGTTTGACTGCTAACTGGATACTGTGGCTCCTAAGTAGACTCGGAGTGGCAGAAACAACCCTGCAGATCTTGCCGGTGCACAAATATTCATACTCTCAGACAGCCAGGTAGCCAGAAAGGCACTAAATGGGTATGCTTTCAACTCCAAACTTGTCTGGGAGGGCATAGAAGGAAATGAACAGGCTGACTAACTAGCCAAAGCCTTTTCACCCATGGGACCAGAACCACAACTAAGTATTCTGGTGTATGTGTGCTTAAGTTGGAACTGGAAAAATGGATTGAGAAAGAAAAACTGTAACAATGAACAGACACTCCTGGTATGAGGCTAAGAGATTTATAAACATCTCAAAAAGAAAGGCAAAAGAACTCCTCTCTCTCTGCAGGCAGGATTTGAGGATTATAGAACTTTATACCAGCCACTGCCCTCTTAGCTATCACCTTAAGAACATGGGCAAGGCTGAGGAGGAAACATGCCGGCTCTGACAGGAGGAACCTGAGTCATCGGCACATATCTTTTCCAAATGTAAAGTGTTAGCCTGTTTACGATAAAGCCACATCGGTAGGACATTTCTCATACCCAAGGAGATCCACAATGAGGCATCAAGGTTCAGCTTTATAAGGAAAAGTGCATTTTCCAAAGTACGGCTATAGGGATTCTACAAAACTACAGTGATAAGTCTGAACTTCGAGAGTTGGCAGATCAGGAAGACCTAACATCAGAATTCAACTCCAAGTTTAAATGAAAAAAAAAAAAATCATTATTTATTTAATTTTTTCTTATATTTTTAAAAATTGTAGCAACCCAACAGACAAGGTAAAATATAAAAAACCCTTAAAACATGGTATAAGCGTGGTACCATGTTTTAAGCTACATAAATTATATATATTAAGTTGATTTTAACCCTAGGTTTTAAACTAAGTTTTAATACCTGTTGTCACCTACAGGCAACTCTGCTGTACCTATGAGAGTCAACATGTTTTCACCATCTGTATTCTGTATTATTTAGATGATACTATGTAACTTCATACTAGGGATGAGCATCGATGGTCGATGTTTAGAAAACATCGATGTAGGCGGCCGATGTTTTCAACATCCATGTTACTCTGTCGATTTTTTTTACCATCGATGATGGCCTGTCGATGTTTTATAATATTTTTCAGTTTTTCCTAATTTACACTTTTGTGAATAGGGAATGACCCGTATTCTTCTGATATGAAAGAGACCTGTCAGTTGTCTAATTTGTTGCCTTTGTGGCACATCTGTTCCCTCTGAAGATTATTTTCCAAAGCTATAGATTACTTCGAAAACCAGAAATCGCTTAGAGGATAAATTGACTTTCAACCTACGTTGTTTTAATTGCGTTCCGGAGAAGATGAAGTATTTCATTGTAAAATTTGGATACATTAATTTTAATAAATTAAGGATATGGTTGATTTTAGTTACGCACATGTTAAACCTTTACCCTTTTTTTTTAGCAAAAGACAGGAATTAGGCTTGGGTAGATTATGGATGTTTTTCAAAGTGTAGAAGAAACTGTTTAAACTAAATACTCAATTAATCATACACAATTTTTTTCGAAATGAAAAAGTGTCACAAGCGGGATTCGAACCCACGACTTTCGGCTCAATACGCCGCTTCTCTACCACTTGAGCTACCGTGATTTCGATCGCCCATGCCACAAACTTCTCATTTCGACTACCAATTTTATTCTAATTACAAGCAAATCGCGGCTTCATGTAGAAACACTTTTAATTAACGATTTTACTAGATTAGGGGGACTGTGTACGATCGTGGGTTCGAATCCCGCCTGTGACACAAATTTGTCATTTCGAAAAAAATTGTGTTAATTGAGTATTTATATGTTTAATAGAAGCTGATAAAATTTACTATTTAAACTAAGCTAATAACATAAATACTTAGTTAAGCAATGGTGAAGTTGGACCTTTTCCGTTAATGTGCCTCCGCCCCACTGGACCGCTAAGATCTCTCTCCGGTCACTTAAGGAAAAGCTCCTTTAAAAAAAATCATAAATACTGAAACATTTTATTTTAGGTAATTCGTGTAATAATAGTTAAGAGTATAAATTGGTAATAAAGGAAATCACATTTGAGTCCCTGGGGGCCAGAATTCAGCTATTTCACTAAGGATGTCTTCGAAAACATGCATAATTCTTGCCGTAGATGACTGCCGCCATATAAATTCGCATAAATAGGAGCCCAATAAACTTCGGCTGGTACTCCACTGCCATTTGTTCCTCGCCTTTGCTTTTCCCCATACACTCTTAATGGACTCATATGTGCACGGGTGGTCGGGTCGGCAAAATTGAAAGAGCAGTTCACTGTCATATGGCGGAAACTAGAATCCTGGGATAATGTTTCATATGCCTTCCACTGATCCGTGATGTTGACAGACCCAGCAGCGATCCGATCCCAAATTATGGGGATGAAAGTGGCAGCTGATCTGTCCGAAACGGCGACTAGAAAACTTTTTATCGTTTCGCAGCAAATGCCACCAAAAATCCACTGCTATGGTAAGATTCTCCCGGTGTTGGTTTTCCGGCGCGAAAACAGTGATTCATCAATTTCCACAGTGCAACTGGCGCCACCAATGCTCGAATGTCTACGAAAAAAGTTCGAACAGACTTCGTGCATGTAGTTGCACCAATGAACGAACATGTTATGCTTTATACTTCACTCTCTTTCATAAAATTTAACGCTTACTATTTAGTATTTCGTATGCCCAAGCGTATATGAACAGCACAATGGTCGAATATGGTTGGTCTTGTGCCAGTTAAATAAATGTTACTTTTTAACGCCATTTCCGCCTTGCTTGTACGTTTGTAGCACCTCCACTTGTCACGAGATCCTGTCAAATGCAGCCTCGCGTCGTGTCCTATACTTCGCACAGCTAATGGAAGAACTCCCTTTCCTGAAGGAAACGAACTGTCGATTCCTTGGTTTTGACGGCGTCGTATGGTGCCAGAAAGTTCATTTTATTTAACCGAGTTCTTTGTCAACTGGTATACGACACAATACGCCAATACATACAATACAATGGTATATATTGGGTTGTCCGGAAAATAATGCAGGATTTTGGTATTAAACAAAAAAAAAGAAACTAGTTACTTTAAAGCAATGTTCTTTAATCAAAATAATTTCCCATACNATGAAAACTTAAAATCCTGCATTATTTTCCGGACAACCCAATAATTATATACCTTGACTCAAAGCACAAGATAACATAGGATAAGAGCGGAAGCCCAGAGACCTGACCTTTGTCTCAATCCCTGTCACCGAGCGCGAGTGGGCGGAGGCACATTAACGGAAAAGGTCCGTGAAGTAGAACGCGGCACAATCTGTTACTATCTAAAACCTCCTTTTTAGCAAGTATACTATACACGGAATTTGCTGAGGGCACTGACGATTGCGAGCACTTCAAGTTCATAGCTCGTGTAACGTTGTTCTTGAAGAGTCGTCTTTTTACTCATATAAGTGACTGGGAGAGGTTTCTTCGGTCTTCCTAGTCGATCTGCATTAAAACTGCTCCATACCCAAAAGAACTTCCTTCTGTATGCAATTCTGTTTGAGCATTCAGATCAAATATTTTTAACAGTGGGTCACAGGTTAATTTTGTCTTTAGCTGTTCAAAAGCGTGTCTCGGTTCATCTCCAAAAACATATTGTGTGGTTTCCTTCATCAATTCTGATAGTGGTCTCGCTATAAGAGCGTAGTCCTTAATGAATCAGCGAAAAAAATCAAGTGAGCCCAAGAAAGCTCTGTATTTGCTTCTTTGTCTATGGAATTGGGAACTTTTTAACAGCAGCTATTTTGTCATCCGATGGTGAGATATGATTATAGCTGATTTTATGTCCCAGATATGTCACTGATGATTTGAAGAAAGTACATTTTTTCCAGTTTACTTTTAAACCATATTCTTCACATTGTTGTAAAACCAACTTCAATTTTGTAACAGCTTCGTTCTTGTCTTGTGCTGGAATGATTACATCGTCAATGTAAAGAAGTATACCTTTCTGTATCATATCTTGAAAGACTCTATTTATGAATTGTGTAAAAGCCGCAGGCGAGTTGCTGAGCCCGAATGGTGTTTTCAAAAATTTGTATTGTCCATTGTGTGTGACAAATGAGGTGTATTTACAACGTGTAGATTTTCATCCACAGGTACATGGAAATATCCATTTTTGAGGTCAAGCATTGAAAATATTTTTGCCCCAAAAAGGTGATCGATTTGATCATCCATTAATGGGCATGGATGGCAATCTCTCAGGATCTTTTTATTCAGCCTCCTGTAATCTACACACAAACGTACTTACCCATTTTTCTTTTTTACCAGTACTACTGGACTAAATATTCGGATGTCGAGTGTTGTATATCCATCTTCTAGCCATTCCTTGACTTGCTTTTCCATAGTTTCTCTCTCTACCAGAGCCAATTGTCGTGGTCTATCCACCGGGATATCAGTAGTCTTAGCTTCACATCTGTAGTTTTTTAGTTATTCAGATATCGTGAGATGCGGTCGGGTGTGATGTAGGTTTCAGAAAAACATTTTCTTTATCGTGCCAACGTTTCGATCTTTTATTGAGATCATCTTTAGGGCTCAAAGTGTTTGTCTTCTGTGTAATTGTGCCATCCTTGCGTGTCGTGTTGAGAGTGCCCTGTAGTTTTTATCGGCATCTCATGGTATTGTTCTTTCAAACTGAGAACCATGCTACTGAATTTTGGATGGATGGATTTACCATGACCACGTCTTGATTTATGCAATAGATTTGGAATTCATTGTCCTCTTTGTTTTTCTTGATACCCACGATCCGTCCCCCTTTTGGGACTCTTTGGAAGGCAACATTGGAAATAAATAGTTTTCCTAAAAGCATTGGGTAGTTAGTTCATTATGTGGTCATCGACTATATGGAAAATAACATCGTACTGATCATTCTCGATGTGAACTGTGCTTATAGTTATACCAAGGGTCTTTATCTTTTCACTTCCAATTCCTCGTACACTTGTGGCATTTGTTGAACATGTTGATAAGTCTGATCCAGTGTCTAGTAAAGCCATGACTGACTCATTTCCTAATTCTATGCGAACTGTCATGGTAGTTCCGTAAACTGAATCGTTAGGTGAAGTAACTGTTAACGTCATAGGATTTAATGGGCTTCTTCCTGAATGGGTTGGACATTCTTTTCCTTTGTGCCCGAAATTGTTGCATTTAAAACATTTTGGGCCTTTTCCCTTGTCTGGGCAGGCCCAAGATTCGTGGTTCTTTGCTCCACAATTGTAGCAAATTTTAGTCAGTGGGAGATGTGATTTTGGCTGATCATCGTCTCGACCGGATTGTCGTCTTTGTATGTACTTTACCGTTGCCTTTCTTAAATTTTCAAACATACTCATCTTTGTTTGAATTCCTGGATCATCGTTGCGCCCCACAGGATAGTTTTTTGCATGGGGCTGTCTTTAAGGTTTTCGATAATGCATTTGAAAACACATTTCAATTTGACGTTTCCCAGCTTGACAATGCCCAACATTTTATATAAATATTGATTCGGGGATTCATTGCATCTTGGGCGTCGAAAAACTAACATTTTGTGAACCTTCTTCGAGTCCAATTTAGGTGAAAATTCATCCAATTTTTTTCATCCAAAGTTTTTCCAAGTCTGTGTGCCGTTCGTATATTTTATGTACAGTTTAGTTGAACCTTTCAGCAACCTTCTGGCATAGATGATTTTCTGAATATCATCCCACATGCATAGGTTCGCCATATCTTCCAATTCCTGAATCCATTGGGTCACATTTTTCGATTCGTCGTCTCCTGAAAATGTGTCCAACGAGTCTTTGATGTCCCACCGAAAATTGACCCAATTTTTAACAAGATTGCTACACGAGATCAAGTTGATCTAGTCGAAAAGCTTCATTCGCTAACTCGTAACTAGCGCTTCAACCAGTGGGTCAAACTATATATAATATATAGTATATATAACTAATTATTATATATATCAGATAGAAACTATATATAATATATAAAAAATTTGGTGAATCCCGCTTGTCTGGAGCCACTTGCTGTTATGTCTCTGTTCACCAAACCATTGATTCATAGGCTATCATGGTCTAATGACCACTGTGTATATCCATACATCTTTGGGTTCAATACTCATCTTTTCCTACCCTTCGCTCTAAGTACAATGGAGATGCCATAAAAAATTTGTGTAGGTTTTTCCAGATCCATACTTGCATACAATTTGTGGTATATTAAATAAAATGAATTACATTTATCTGATAATTTAATGATTGTGTGAAAATCTTGGATTTCAAATAAAAAGAGAACAATTGGAAAAAATTTGTCTTTTATTTCATATTTACAGAAATAATGTATAAAAAGGTATAGGAAGTAGGTTCCCTCACAAATCTGAGTTGTCCATTATCTCTCTTTTTTCCTTTTTTTTTTAAATTTTTTAATATTTTTATTCTATACAGGGAAAATATAAAAGTATAGAAGTATTGTTGAAAAAGGCATTTCAACATATTTTCTCTAGTTTTAAAAGTAAATCTATAGAACTCGTGTTACAATTTATTATAATACTTCTATTCAGAATAAACATTTCTAATTATCAAAAATTACATTGAAAATATATGATATTGCACAAAATTATTTAATATTTGTTTTTATAAAAAACAAAAACCTTCACGTTTTTATATCTAAATTTGATTTAAAGACAAAAGTTAGAGTGATACAATTTAGTAAACTTTAAAAAAAAAGACAATTAAAATATGTATTTCATATTTTAGTTAAAACTTTCTCTAATATAGAACTAAATGTACTTAGCGGTCAATTATCATTTCAAAGGGTTGGAAAACCAAACAAAACAAAATAATAAATTAATAAAAAAATATAATAAACAACAAATGGTATTATGATAAATAAAATCATATTAACCTATCTCGATAGATTTACTTTTATGACAATATGACGGATGAACAAAATTGTATTAAATTATATCACATTCTGCCAAAATTATCACAATTATTATATTTGCAAGGTGAACATGGCAAAACCCAGTCCGTGAAGTCATTTCCTACAGTCCTGTAAATACAAGTGATTGCACTATTTGGCATAGTCAATTTGCAACAATTCCCTCTTTTAAGCTAAACGTCCAGACGGACGAGATACAAATTAAATCTGAAAATATAAATTTAGAATTTTCTTGCTTTAGGGATGTTTACACGAACTGAGCAAACATTGCCAAAATCGTTTTAAAACTTTTCCTTTGTTTAATATACAAAAACGAAAGATACAAATATTTCTAATAACAACATTAAAAACATTGTACTCTGACTATACAGAGCTGTTGTAGGGTGCGTAATCGCACTACTTAACCATTCCTATAGATGGAATGGTGTCTTCTTATTCTATATAATTTATATATTGTTATATACAAACATTAAAAAAATTATTTTGAGGCTCTACACTGGTGCAGGTAGCATTAGCATGTATGGTATATACATTAGCTTGGTAAATAATACTGTACATCTAAAAATTGCTGATGCCGCCAAACGTCATGGTCTGTGGTACCTGAAAAATAATTTCAACTCCTTTAGTGAACATTGTCATTTTGTCTCTCAATAAGTACAGAATTGCTTTGTAGTTTTCAATCAACAAAACTTTAATTTTTAAAAAAGTTTTAATTATATCATAAATACAAGGTCATCCAAAAAGTCCTGTTGTTTTTATTCATTTAGTTTTATTTGAGGAAATGTACGCCTTTTTGCAATTATTTCTATCTAAATTCTAAAGTTATTGTCAAGAGCTCTAAAAAGGAGGTAAATTTGTTGGTAATAGGAATGGAATGGAGCAATGGACCTTTTCAATTAATTTATCCTGGATCATAATTTTTTAAGTATAGAATCGATACTGCCATCCTTTTGCAAACCCAGAATCAGTTTTCCAGAAACCTCCAAGACCGTTTCCGTTTATTTATTCATTTTTAAAAGTAATTTTTTTATTACGCTATTTCAACAACAAAGTGAAACCCTTGAGGTCCCGGTGTTTTTGAGAAAAAATTCTCAGGACCTTTACTTTATCTTTACTGACAGTAATGAGTGTCAACACTTTCTCTCCTGTTTGGAAAATGGTTCAAGAGAGGATTGGATTCAAAAGGTTAGGGATGAAATAAAATCCCAGCAAATAACCTTTACCCTTTGTCATACCACCAATCTACTACAACTTTGTTCTTGCCGCAGGAACCAATGACGCCTTCCATTTAGGACTTCACATACTTGGAACCTCTACATTCAACTCTAAATAATAGAGCTGAACAGTTGATATAAAAAGACTGCTTGACAACAGATCAAAAGCGTACTAAGAGACAAAACAAATGCCTCATAATTACAATAACCAATCTGGACATACTGAATTGAATTGTGTGGTTTGGGAATTGAACCAGGGGTTCAATCTTCAGTCCAAAATCCTTTGAACCATTGTCAGTCAAAGCTCCTTAGTATCCACAGAAACCTCCAAAATCAATTGTCTTTGAAACTAAAAGACGTCAATACAGACGCATTCCATAAAACCTAACATGCTCATTCCGAACCCTTGCACAGACCCGAATTTTGACAGAAGCATTTATAAAACAGAGACGGTGAGTTGTCTATAGTTGTAGCACTGTGTTGACACATGCAGCAGTACGTACCACCTGTTTGAAAATTTTTCATTCAACCACTTGTTGGCTTTTTATGGAATTAATCATTGTTTAAAAAAATCGGTAAATTTACTTCTTGCCATTGACAGTTATGCTCAACTGAGGTGATAAACGCCTCAGCCAAAACCACTACGTCATTGGCCTTAGTTTGATGTTGTCCCATAATAAATAACAAAAGTACAGTAAAATTGACAGAGCTCAGTAGACTTAAAAGATAAATAAGTGGTTGAACTATCAGAAGATTTAAATTAAATCTGAAAATATAATATTGAATTTTTTTTTTAAATAGAGATAAATTGAGCAAAAACTGCCAAAATTGGACAAATTTAGTCAGATTTGGTTGTGACACTTTGTTGAAAAATTTTGATCAAACCTTGCCTGTTTTGGAAGTTACCTTGTGAGATGTCGGCTTTCCTGATGAACTTCCATTTCAGAACTTTTAAATTCATTAAGCTCTTTTCTAATCGCCGCCTTGTCCTTTGGAGTAAGACGCGTCCAAGGTTTGTCAGCCCTCCTGTCATAATCGTGAGCTTGAGTCACTTCGATGTAATCATTAAATCGGATTATCTGTAAATGTTACAAGTTAATCAAGAGTCGATGTGAATTCTTTGCCAAACAAACCTTCTTTTCTTTCAGTTCTTCAACAGTAGGTCTAAAGCTTAGTTTTCGAAGTAACATTCGTTTCTTTTCTTCTTTCAGTTTTTTCTCTTCGGCTGCAGTTTGCTCTAAAGTAATAATAATGATAGTTTAGTTCAAAGTGAATGCAACTTGCAAAATTCTTGACGCTTACTTTTTAAAATATTTCTTTCTTCTAATTCTTCCTGTGTTGGTCTCATGCTAAGCCTCCTGCAGAATTTATATCAAGTTGAATTTCAAGATTCAGGTCGGAGTAATGAGATTTATTTGAACTACCTTATCAGTTTTGCTCCTACTGCTTCTTTGGTTTCCTGCCTTTCCTTTTCAGTCTGTATTTGTAGAATGTTCCTGTCGATGAGTTCTTGCCGATCTGGCCTCAATGCCAGCTTCAGGGCTAGACTATCTTTCCTGGCTATTTTTGCAGCTAACCTACCTGTAATTAAAATATAACTTTAGTTTGTGGTTTGTTTTCAATTTTTTTTAAAACTTACTTTCTGGATCGTCATCCCTGTAAAGGATCGCACCATCACCTGAAGAGTCGCTACCCTCATTGTCATCACAAGGCCTTGCATTCTCCTTGTTTTCAAGTGTGCAAGCTAGTGACAAACCAAATCTCACTGGTCGTTTGCTGGAAAAAATATAAACAAATAAAAAATAACAATAAAAAATAATGCAAAGGCAATTTTTTTGGTTTGTTCCATTTATTTTCAATTTATTTGTGTGATCTGAACTTGTTTTAATTAAAAATCTTAGGTGGTTTTAAATTTGAATAATTGTCAATTACCAAATTATTATCCTAGGTCGAAGTGGCGGCCTTCTGCAGCAACAACAGAACAAAGAAAATGGTTTTCACCAAAAATTTTGTTTTTTCAATTTGCAAGTTTGTGAATAACAAGGCGCAATTGCACTCTGCATTTGCAGCTGGACGAATGGATTACTAGCATTGTTGATAACCAATTGTTTAATAACCAAACAAAATTTATCTGAGTAAATATTGCTGGAGTTATCCTAACTAGGTTAATATTTACATGGTACAGGAGTTTATATCTCATTTACAAATAAGGGTTCAACGTACTACCAGAGTGAGATATAACAACAAAATTAGTCATTAAAATCAGAATATAGTAACATTTTGTAAATAAGTACATTTTATGAAAAATATTTCAATTTATGAAGTAAATACAACTATTATAGATGGAAGGAAATGAAATGTGCGTAAAATAATGTTGAATTAAAACTTTTTATTTATTCTCATTTCTTGTGAAAAAAATTTTAATTTATGTTTATGAAATAATTTTATAATTAAATAATAATTCATCCACTAATTAACAAATTAATCATGACATATGGTTTTAAAGGCACCTATTAATTTGCCTTAGGTGATTAATTATAAAAAAAAAACCTTGAGTTAAGTAATTGTTCAATTGTCAGTTTTAAAATGATGGCATTATTTTTTCTACAAGTGTGAACAGATTGCAGGATGGATTTCAACAGAACATTTCAAACGGAATGAATAGAGATTAAAAAATTATTACCAGGGCGAGCGGGGGATGAGACTAAGCCATAAATTATTTCTACTTGCCTTGCATGTTTTATCTTTCTCTAGTTTTTGTAAAATAAAAACAATAAAATTAAGAGACTCACTTCATTTGTAGCTGTGGAGACTCTTGGGTAGGAGTTGGAGGTTTTTTAAGGGCAGACTTTAATGGCACTGCGTGAAACTTGGGCTCTTTAGCTGGTATTTCTTCCACCCTCGTAGTATCTATACTTGGATTCGGTTGGCTTAGTCGAAGTGATGAAGTTTCATCTGATTCAGAGCCTTCGCCTTCAGAATAAACTTCATTCTCAATCGAATCTATTTAAAAATCAAAGTTACAATTGACAATATAAAAAAAATCATTCTTTAATAATCTTGCTTAAAGTGTTTAAGTTTGACACAGTGGTAAAATTACCTTCGTAAGGGTAGTCAGTGAGGTCACTAGATAACGGGTGTGAAATATTACTGAACATTGGAGGGGGAGGTATAGGTCCTATTTCTGATACAGGAATGGGTGGTTCAGGGAGCTCAGAGAGCGTCAAATGCTGTTCTCCAGGTACAGGGCTCTCCAACGGTAAGGAGCCATCGTCACAACCTACAACGTAACAAATCGGAGATCTAAGGTACAGAATCAACATAACGGCTTATAATTTAACGATTGACAACAAAAAGTTACATTTTCACTTGCAACTTAAAAAAATCTATTATAGATGTATGTATACATTATATTTTTCAACATGTATGATAATATTGAAAAGCAGTTATTTAATTTTACAGAATTGTAATCACCTGTGTGCGGTGGTAGGCTGTTCGGAAGGGTCGGTGAGGATGTGTATAGATCATTATGATAGCAGAGAAGCCTCCTTGTCAACTTGCTGGGTCCAAGCGATGAAGGCCTCTCTGGCTTCGTGGATGGCATCGGTGGAGGTATGTCATCATTCCCTCTGCAGCTCCCATTTGATTCTCCTTCACCTTTCTCCTTCTTCAATTCTGAAACAAAAGTCAAACAAGTTCAAATGTAAATGTTAACTGTATTGGATTCTAACCGATTCACTATTATCTGACGAGATAAATATTGTTTATGTTATGTAATAAAGTAAAGAGAACTTGGTTAAACAAGTGGTAAAATGATCTCATGATAAAATGTAACGCAATTGAAGAAACAATATTTTAAGAGATTTTGAGCACATTTCTTTTCTGTTAAACATGAACTTATTCTAATACTTTCTATCTTCAACATTTTATAATAAAATAAAATAAATTAGCTAAGGTTATAAACCAAGGACTTGAAGCCAATTACAGTACTAGGTAGGATTGAAGAAAAAGGCGTAACGCCTAGGCTAAACCAGCCAGACCGTTAAGTCGTGAAGTACAACATAACCTCGGACTCATATCCCCCCCGTTTCATCGAATCTCCCTGGTTTGAAGAAAATTTTTTGATCTACTAGTTAAACAATTTATTCTCGGTTCGATCGTCTTTGATTATATACAGGTCCGCCATTTCTCGCTGTGTCGTATTTTGTACCTAATGACCTTATATGTTTTTAATTTTTACTCGTGTTAATGTGTATGCTGCTAACGGGTCAGCCTACTTAATGTTTTGCCTCTTTGTTTGTTGTCGTAAGTGCGGTCTTTAGTGCCTAATTAGCTAAAAATATAGTTTGTATGTCTTTTTTTACGTCTGTGAATGCAGTCCATTTCTGGGGTGTTGTTTTGTTTCTGCGTATTCCTTTTGTGTACTAGTTTATTGATTGAGTCTATGTTGTAGTTGCTGCGTGTGATTAGGGTGCTTTATTGTTTCAGTGTGTTTTTTATTTCTCTCTAGGTCAGTAACCTATTTTTAGTCTACCATATGGATTTGCATGCTGCCATTTTGTCTCTGGGTGGTTTGTGTCAGCTCTTAGGATAAGGTAGTTTCCGTAGAGGATTGTTTGCTTTTAAGGAGTCCAGGTTTGATAGTATTAGTAGTATTAGTTGTTATTGAATTGTTGAAAATGATGTTTACTATGTGAATATGTGTATTTCCATAAATTCGGGGAAGTATTTAAGTGTTTATATGGTAGTTTCGAAGTCTACTCCACAGCTGGAGACACTCATTTGGGAGGTGAAGATTTCGACCCAGGCCAGTATTGAAATCGATTCCTTCTACGAAGGAATGGACATCGATCATAAGGGCCAGGTTTGAAGAGCTGAACGCCGAACTGTTCAGAACCGGTAGAAAAATCCTTCAGAGATACTAAAATTGACAAAGCCCAAATTCACGACATGTGTTCGTCGGAGATTCCACCCGTATTCCAAAAGTACAGAAACTCCGCAAATTTCTTCAATGACAAGGAATTGAACAAATCAACCCTCACGAAGCAGTAGCTCATGGCGCTGCTGTCCAGGCCGCTATTTTGCACGGTGACAAATCCGATGAATATATCTTGCTTTTCTTTTTGTTGGATATGGATAAGAATCTGGATTATAAAAACTTCGCAAGTTTTTCCAACTTGTTAATATCCCAAATAAAAAGTTGGATAAGCATACTTAGTTTTTATAATCCCGATTAATATATTTTGTACCTAAACGACCTTATATGTTCTTCAAATCTATTTTTATTTTTCTTCCTGTTATTGTATATACATATGCTGTTTTTTCTGATGGGTCAACATCCTGTCGATGTTTCGCCTCAGGATTTTTCCAAATTTGTTTGTTCTTTAGCGCAATCTTTTAGGCCTGATTTGTGAAATGTCTTTTTATCTTACGTTTGCGAATGAAGACTTTTTTTCGTGTGTCGTTTTGTGTACTTCTTTTGTTTACTGGTTTATTAATTATGTCTATGGTTTGGTCGTGTGCTATGTTTTTTTTATTATTTCAGTTCTTGCTTGTGTTTGTCGTTAGTTAAGTGGTCTACTAAATGGATCCGAATTACTGCCATTTTGTCTCTGGGTGGTTTGTGTCTCTGTCACCTCTTATGATGTTAGTTGCCCTTGGGTATCTTTATGTTGTTGTCTACTAGAATTTCGGGAAAATATTTCTTTTCAAGATTTTGTTAAAACACTTCTGCAAATATTCAAGGTTTGGCCATTCCTAATTCGTTTTTTGGGTTTACATTTGTCTTGTGAAGACGGTTTGTGTTATGTCATCACCCTGTATAGATCAAGAATAAATTACACTTCTCTAAGATAGGACTTTTGTTATTTCGCCAAATATTCCTAGTCTATACCAATTTTGACGTAGTTTTAGAGAGAAAAGAGGACAAACGGACCAGGATATCATAAAATCAATGCTAGGATTTTCCTCGGTGGTTAAACCAGAACTTTAAAAATCACTGGTACCAGGTAAAGTAGAACAGGTAGAACTCGGAGACGGCCGTGATAATAGCGAAACGTTGTTTAACGATCAATACTCGGCCATTTTCTATTATAACCTGGGCACAAATTACAAATGAATTATACAAATCGTACTCGAAAAAATAAACTTGTGTACCAAATAAACACTAAAAGTAAATAATAATTTTTAAACCTGATTTGACGTGGCCAGGTGGAAGAAAGGCTGGCGGTGGAGTGATAGGGTCGTCGCAGCAGGTGGCGACCAAATCCGGGGGCTTTGTCTCGACCGGTTCCAACTTCTTCTCACCACGCTTCCTCCGACGTGGAGTGAACGTCTTCACCAAAAGCCCAACGCCGCTCATCTGTCCATTGACGAGTTCCATTGATAAGAACGGAAGCACTCGACCGGAACGTACGCAATTACTCTCTCAAGATTCATTGTCCCATCGATACTTATTAATTTCTTTTCGAATAACGTCTTTTACTACTCTGAACCTTTTACAACCTTTACTTAAAGCCGTTACGAAATTTATAACCCTTACAAATTGAAAAAAAATCAAAGAAGTGAAGTTAGTTCGGAATGATTTATAATCCAACTTCTCTGACTGTCAAATATCCAAAGGTACGAATTAAAAGGGGATGTCATTCCCATCTGTTCTACTTTGTACACATGCTGTTTTGAAAAAGGCTAAAATCTCTCGGTATTTTAAGGATTATTAGAGTAACACTGAAGTCACCTATAAAATCGTTTGAAAATTGGTTAAATAACCACTTATTACGGTTATGGTGATATCTAGGAATAGGAAATAAAAACACTCGACAATCATGTCAATCAAGTAGGTACAAAATTGAAAACAAATATCACCCACATCTGAACAACGACAACGCGATTTGGCTACATACCCTTGTGAAATAATAAGCAGTCAATATTTGACCTGTACTCCTTTGAATGACAACTAGATTCCCGATTAAATCAAACCGAACCGGCTCTCTTAACATAAATAAAAATTATGTTATTTAAGAAATTGAAACTTGATTATGATGTATTTATGGATTGTCAGAAATTTAACGTTGTATATTCGTAAAACGAAAAACTTTTCAAGATGTAACTATTGGAACTAGTACCAATCGCTCGGTTAGAGAAAATCCGGGCATCTGGACATACGACACGATTAAACAGCGCAAATTGGGCCCAATGAATCTTGCCTTTCACTCATTCACACACTCGGCCGAGACTCCTCCTCTCATCCTCCTGGATAATCCAACAAGTCACAGACGGACGTATCGATCCGGTAACCGTGAAACATTGAAAAGCCGAGCCCCGGGAGCTTCCGTGGATCGGCCCGAAAGGGACAAGTGCCTCCTTTCGTGCACAGCCCACGGTACGGAAGAAAATCAACATAGGAAAAGGGAAAATTGCGAGTATTTTTAGAATACCGGAAACACTGCTGGGCGAGTGAGGTGAAATGCGGCACTGAAGGCGCATGCTCCTTGCCCGATGCCGTAAAATAATTTATTTCGTTTAAATAATGTTGAAAATTAAAATAAGGCAAAGCGTAAATCAATAAGAGGAAAGGGTTGTCAGGGGGCGGACTTCCATCCAATGGTTAAACAGAAAAGCGTGTACGAACAAGAATAGAATAGGAAACTGGAGGAATGGCATGGAATCAGCCGAGTGGACGTCTTCCAGGTTCGTGGTCGAGAGGAGGAGAGAATCGGCTCTTACTTTCGCCAGACAGAGAATTCAATGCAGAAAATGACTTTATAACAAATGACGACTGACCGTGTGGGCGAAGCGTCGAGCAAGATTATTTGATCGCCATCTGGGAGGGACGGCCCTCGCCCGGCTGCCGACTCAATCACACTGATCTCGACTGCCGCCTCTCCGCCGCCCCCACCTCTCAATGTTCACGCTACTACTGCCAACTCAACCCTGCGAAAATTCTCCCTAAGAGGAAGACAACCAGAATTACGGATCTTCTGACTGGACTAAGTCCCAACGTCTGGATGAACTGACCTGGATAACTGCCGTTTGAAATTAACTGTCGAAATACTTTTTAACCAGTCCAAGTAGTAACAAAACGCATAAAACAGACGTACAGTTTTTTTAATTGACAACACCCTAATCCGTCAAACAATTCTATACTTCACTCTGATATAAAAATCCTTACGAACCAGCATCGCATATACTGATGATTCATACTGAACGTTTTAATATGACATACATAAGTATTCGATTCCTCCAACACGACACCACTGACCTGTACTTAATGCGATGATCCAAAAAAGTCCATGATTCAACATGATCTTAAAATCCTATCACTACTCCCAAGTAATCGAACCACCATACAAAAGACTCCAGAAAACGGTATACCTGTACACTGTGATCCAAGTTCACACGAGTAACTCCACGCTTCATTCGACCTAAGAGTTACGTAAATAGACGACTCCTCCTACAAGACTTTGTAACAACGTGGACCTCCGCCCTAACCTACTAATGATGCAAGCAGTGCACACCGGTATCTCTAGGCTTCAATACGACATAAAAATATGAGCTGTACCTCTAAATAGATTTCTCTTACAACGCGCGCCACAACATCTTGGACCTCCACCACCCTAGTTTAATGAGGATCTAATCAACACGACTGGTTAATGTTTCAATCTGGCTTAAAAACC